GACCTTGGCTATCTCGACGGGTTTTGAAATTGTTAATAAGGTAAAATATTTGGGGGTGATGTTATCTGTTTCTAATGCAAAATTATTTAAAAATAATTATGAAAAGTTGTGGGTTAGGGTACAGAATGATTTGAAGAATTGGGAGAATTTGCAATTATCCCTCATGGGAAGAATTGCAGTGATAAAAATGAATATTCTACCCAAGTTTCTCTTTTTGTTTCAGATGCTACCGATTTTGAAGAATGAGATTAATTTAAGTGAATGGCAGAAAGGCCTTAATAAATTTATCTGGGCAGGGAAAAAGCCAAGGGTTAAGTTTAAAATTATGCAAGACTTTCGTGAGAGGGGTGGACTCAAGGTACCGAATTTGAAATTATATTATGATGCGGTGGTTTTAACACTAATTAGTGATTGGGTAAATTTGACAAATCCTGAGATACTTTATCTAGAGGGATGGGATTTACTTTTTGGATGGCATGCCTATTTAATATTTAATAAAAAGATTGACTGGGTTTTTAAATCTCATATTTTAAGAATTTCTTTACTTAGGACTTGGAGAAAATATTATAAAAGTGATTTTAAAGTACCATTATGGGCTATACCTTGGCATGCGATAGAAGGAATAAAAAGAGGGGCTAAAATGGACATGGTGTCTTATAGACAGTTACTTAGGTGGGATGGACAAAACTGGCAGTTAAAATCACGGGAAGAGTTAACACAAGAAAATATTATTTACTCTTGGTTCCAATACAGGCAACTAGCAGATAGATGGAAGGTGGATTGTAAGGTGGGTTTTCTTAGAGAAGATGAAAATTTTATTAAGCAAGTGAAGGATCAAAGACAAACCCACATTAAGAGAATTTATGGGGTTTTAGTTGAATTGGATTCAGAAACGGAACTAATTAAAGATTGTATGATCAGATGGGCGCAGAATTTTGGTGAGCCAGTTCCATTGGACACCTGGGAAACTATTTGGGTTAGAAATGTCAAATTTACACAAGCACAGAATTTAAGGGAGAATTTCTATAAAATGTTTTGTAGATGGCACCTTGATCCACAAGAAATGTCTTTTATGTACCCTGACCTACAACCTAAATGTTGGAGATGTGGGTGTATGGATGCTGCTTATTACCATGTTTGGTGGTCATGCAGAGAGATAGGAGCATTTTGGATTAAGATATGGTGGAATATCCAGAGAATTTTTAAAAGGAGGGTAAAATTTACTCCGCAATTATTTTTGTTAGGTATAGTTACTGATTGTGATACAAAGGAGGTTATATTGATGTTAAATTTGATTACAGCCGCGAGGCTGTTAGTTGGACAATATTGGAAGAAGGAATCTTTGCCTACACTGCAGGAATGGTTTTTTAAAGTGTCTAACTTGGCGGAAATGGCAAAGATTTCGGCTTTTTTAAAGCAACAAACGCAAGAGAAATTTCTTGCTGTTTGGGATAAATGGATAAAATTTATACAGTTTAAAATGGATATTAAAAAATATTATATAGCTTTTTCTTAATTTTTATTCTTATATATATATATATATATATATATATATATATTTTAAAATATAATTTTTCTAATTGTTTTTTTAATTAAGCCTATATTCTGCTCTGGGAAGCTTGGGGGGGGAAGGGCGGGTGCTTGGGGGAGGCTGGGGAAGGGAGGGTTTTTTGTGTAATGTTTAGTTTTTTCTTTGTATATGTTTTTTGTCTTTGTATTGTTTTGTTTTTTTCCTTTTTTGTAAAATTTATAAAACTTTTAATAAAAAAAAATAAATAAACAGTAACCATCTTCCCAAAGCAATCGCCATGTTGCTTATTTATTTCCGGCTTGGATGAACCAGGATGAAGACTTTACTTCCAACAACCATAAAAAGGAAGTTGACATTTTACTGAATGTTAGTCAGTTTCCAATGTGATGATTTTAAGTGGTTAGGTACTTAGATATGTTTTGAAAGTATGAGGTAATCTCCGAATACTGTTCTGTTCTCTGCGTATATTGTATATCAGTTGTTTCATCTGTAAAACAAATTCTCTCTCTCTCTTTTTCTCTTTGCATTTGAACACTCTTGCCTCAGAGATTAAATCAATTGAATCATGGTTATTTAATCCCACTTTACAGCCTTTCTTTTCTTTCTTTTAGTTTTCATCCTTTAGTCCATGCTAATTTCAAGGGCAAAAAACTGTTCTGTTTCTTTTTCATACACATTGTGCAAAATGATTTTCACATTAATAATAGCTCGGTTCCTGTGTACCATTTGAACAATGAAACAACAGAAATTTGCTACAGTTTGGCCTCAAAGATAGTTGTGTGTTATCTATTTTTCTTGATAGTAAATTTGTTGGAGGATGCTACCAGTTTTTTTTTAAAAATCCTATCTCTTTGCCAGTCATAGTTTGCTGATGAGCTAGTATTAGATAATTTTCTATTCTTTATTGTTTAGACGCTTATTAATTTGGTTTTGCAACTCATTTATTCCATCTACATTTGAAGACCTAGAAAAACCTTGCCAAGAAAACAGGAGAGACTTGTCTGAGAATCAGACACGACTGAACAGAAGGAAAAAAAAAATCTGTGTCTACTATTTTCTGAATAAATAGTAGTCCTTAACAGCTATTTTGCAAAAATACCAACAACATGTAGGTAACATTTCAAAGGCTCATACCTGTCAAAAAAAGTTTGGGGACCCATATTTCAGTTTTTGAAGCAGAAAAAAAAAAAACATGAAATAACATGTTTGCCTCATATAATGTGCTACCCAAATAATGACCGTTTAAACCAATTCCAGATCCTTATGTTTGGCATGAAATTCTATTAAATGGTTTATTGCAGAAGTCAGTTTATTAAAACATATCTTTTATTTCATTGAAAGCTATTCAGTGAAAGAACAATTGATAACTATGCTGGAGGAAGAACTATATAAAACGCCCACAAACTGCACCACAGAAACCATGTTATTGTATCTCCTTGTATAACTTTAAAGCTCTTTGGACAAAAGGAGACAAATAGCTTTCTTTCAAAAGCTTTGATGTACTAGAAGCATTCCAATGAACATTGCGGATGCACTGAGGAAACAATATAACTTTAAGCTGTACCCAGAGTTATCTGTTAAATATATTGGCTTGTTACAATTCTTTCATAAGGTAGAAGCTCTGATACAATCAAATGCCCTATTCACTTAGCTACGTTTCACATTTTCCTGAAATGTGGAGATTTTATATTTTTTTAAGGAATAAAGATCATGAGCAAAATGTCTAAAAGATGGAAATAATGAGGAGCTACCAAGTGAAACACTATGGGAGGAGGAGAAGGTTAGGCTACATTTATTTCAAGTGACAATCGTAATGCAATGTTGATATACGAGGCGGAACTGCACATCATTCACATATGCATGTGACAAAAACCAGATGGTTGCTTTTCCCAGTGGAAAAAAAAACACGCTTTGGAAGAGGATTTAGACAAGAGAAAGCAGGAGGAGAAGTTTTTCCTTTTCTCTGACTCATTCCATAAGATTTCTACCCTCCTATTGTTTTTCTCTTGAAAAAGAGCTTTGGTTAGTTTACTGGCAGAGATTATTCAGTGTTTGCTTTTTAGAACTTCTTTTGCAGTGTCATTTTTATGATTTAGAAGTAATCCATTTTACTGTATTCTGATACATTTTCTTTTCATTGTTGGCTGCCTTGAACAATTTGGCAATGACTAAGTGTGAATATTTCAGATTTTAGTGAGATTTACTCCCTAGTTAATAGCTACAGCATTGTAACTCTTTGCTTATTTTCAAAGAAACAATCTGCATCTCTCTGATTGGGAAATCACTTTTCCTTCCAGTTTTTATGTTTTGCTAAAAGAAAGACCTATTATTCAAAGCACACAAAGTACCACCATCATTCACAGTTGCTTGTAATTAAGTATTATTTCCTTATTCATATTAAGGGACTGTATTATTCTATTTTTATCTTGCCTGGATCCTCACTATGGCCTGTAAGCCTATGCTACACCTTTAATCTTTTAAGCTCCTCAGCAAATAATGAAAGTCTCTCTGAAACACCTATAAATATTTGCAGGGGAAGGATGCTACTTTTCAAGTTAATACGGGCTTCTGACATGAACACATACTTACTCCTATTCAGAAATTGTTGTAAATGCTGCAATGCATTCATTGCCAATAATGCTATTGTAATAATTAACAAATGGACACATTCTGCTACATTCAATAATAAATATCAAAGACAAAACTCAGCTTGCTTCTGTTTATAGGAGTTTAGGGAGAAATTATTCTGTGGACTGAATTATTTACATAACCGTATTTTTTCCCTGAGTAGAAAAGTGGCAGGTTAAAGAAGCCCTGGAAATAATAATAGGTAATTATTCAGATTCAAAGATGTACTTTTGTATAGTTCAGCTACAAACACAGAGGTGTTCTGCAGTCTCAGTCCTTTGGAGATACTAGAAAACCATTGTTATAATAGCTTGGGGTGTTATTCTGTGATACCACTCATGGCTTTCCATCAGTTTTTGGAGGTGCCTGTGGAACTCAGGGAGTTAAAGTCCACACATCTTAAAGTTGATGAGTTTGAAAAACACTGATTTAAAATATGACATGGAAAGTAAGGCAAGTTTTCACCATCACCCTTATTTCCCAGAATTCTTCTCTGCCCTGCATATACACTCTAGAACAGACATATCAAACTCGCGACATCATATGACGTCACGCAACATATCAGGAGAATTTTGCCATTGCCGGCAATGGGATGGATGCAGCTTCCACATGATGCGTCCGGCCTGCGGGCCGGCAGTTTGACACACCTGCTCTAGAAGAATCCTCAGAAAATTAAAATTAGAGGCAGCACAGTAATGATGTAATTAGTAGAATTTTGTCTGAAAAATTGTTTGGGGCCTCATAGAAGTATCATGCCTCTCTTCTGTTCAGTAAAACAGACTTTTTAAAAGGTGTTTGAACAAGCCTGAAATCAGTGCAATTGCTTAAGAAGTTTACTCACTAGTTAAGGTGATCATGCAGCTGGCACTTTTTTCAGGCTGGTGTGGAGGTCTGGAAAAAAGAGGTTGCTTTAAGGAATAGCAGAGAATTGCTCTGCTAATGAAAGGTCCAAAGCAGTTCTTCTGAAATTTTTTTTTAAAATGTGCATTACTGTATTATTTAGTAATGCACCACCTGCCCAGAAAAAAAAGAGAAAAAATGGAGGTGAGCACTTTGAGAGGCTAGATGGAGGAACACAATGTCACAAATTTGCTTCTTGGTAAGTGGACATTTTGTCACTGGCTACGTTTCCTATTGAGGCCATTTGGGGAGAATACATATCAATCCTCCTCTTTGAGACACCATTGATCCAGATGATCAGAATTCAAAATCACCTGATGCTATTGTTTGAAGAGACATGAAACTTGGTTATTCATTCTTAGCGTCTTGATTCTAATTTAGCTGTATAATACCTGATCTTCTTTCTCAGATGAAATCCTGTATAGTTCTATTGGGGTAATCTGAGAAAGTTCAGTTGATAACTTATTTAGTGAATTTTCTTAATACTCAGTTACAAATTGAACTATCAGTAATGATTGATTCATTCTCTACAAATATATCTATGTTTGATGTAATTGGATGAAGAGATGGGTTCTAAATACCTTGGGCAACGTATTTGCTAGATTTCCATCTCTGAATAAGTTAGTAGAAGCACAGCAGAGCCTGAAGGTGAAGTCAAGAGAGCAATGGGCATGGAGTTATGTTCTCACAAACCCCCCTTGAATTCCATTAACTCTTATCTAGTGCCAATTTAGTGCTGACCATTAGTTGACTAGATTCTTGTGTATAGGCATGAGCAATAAATCAGCTTAACTAGAAATTATTGTGTGGTACTGATTCTTCGTGTCTGACAATAAGCCACAGTTGTCTGGACTATTGCCCCATCATAAAACATTATTTACAAGTCATAAAGACTAGTTTATGCATCCCAATAAGCCCAAACCAAATTACAGTATAGCACAGTTTACCACAGTGTATAAACTGAATACTGAGGAAATGAGATTAGATTTGTTTTCTTATTATGTACTTCCTATATTTGGAGACATACATCTTTCCTTTGCAAGCAGACCAGAATACTAAGTCCTATTTCAGAAATGTTTAACAATTGCTCATTTCCAATAGATTTTTAATTTATGACCAGCAGGCCTTACATCTCTCATTAGATGTTTCTGTTTCATACATGGTTTGTATAGTTGCAGAGCAGGTTGCTATAAACACAAAACAGGTCTTGTGTGGAGTTATGTTCTTTGGATCTAGATCTGCATCTGTTTGGTAAGGTGAGAACCAGTGTGAGAGGAAAATGCAGAAAGATTAGTTTTGAATTATTCGTATATGCATATATTTCAAGCTTCTGCTTGATTGACTGAATCCCAAAGGAAAAAATGTGATGAAACAAGAATCTTCTCCAGTGGAAATATATATTGCCCCCATGGGCTGCTGTAATTAAGCAAGCATTACAGTACACGTCCCAATACCCCAAACAGTAGAAATATAGAACCATGCTTGGCTAGGGATGCTTTGCAATCATGCCAATTATAATGAAGGTATAAGCCAGATTTGGAATGCAGGGTGGCTTACAACAGTAAGAAGGAAAAATGAAGTGTAAACAAAAAATTAATAGAATAAAAAAATATGAGAATACATCAATATAATAACAAAAAGATGGATGGGTGGAAAGCAGAAAGCAAGGGGGAGGGAACAGTGTATGCCATTAATCCAGCAGCCACATCCAGCACTGAACGCCCCCATTTGTTCCTCAAGCCAACTGGCAGAGCCAACAAGCTCTTGCAGAAGAATAGGAGGACAGTTCTTAATCCAAAGCTTAAGATGTTCAAATGGGCAAGCATTGAAATAGAGAAGCTTTTTTTTCTGGAACCCAATAGTTGGAGTTCTTTGACTGTTGAGATCCATAGAAGGTCCTCTCTGCCAGCACAAGGATGGGCTTGTCTTAGTGGGATGAGAGAGTTCATCAAGGAGCCATTAAGGGCTTTAAAAGCCATAATCAACATCTTGAACTGCACTTGGAAGCAGACTGGTAGCCAGTGATGTTTGCAAAGCAGAGATGCAATATATCCTTAATGCCCCAAGACTGCTCTCGCTGCCTCACTTTGCACCAGCTGAAGCTTCTGAATGAATTTCAAGGGTAGCCCCACATAGAAGGCATTGCAATAATCCAGATGATAGATAACTAGGGCTTGAGTAACTGAGCACCTGATGGCTTTGTAGAAAAAAGAGCCAGGTTAGGACCTAGGAGAATGTACTTACATTATGCTTCAAGTAGAATTAGCTGTACGTGGAATGACCGATTAAATACAAATGCTTTGCCTCTCATATATATTTATCCTTTTTCTTAATAGATATAAATTCAACTTACAGAATCAAGGAATATTTCTGATTGCTTCAGAAATATTACAGCAATCATGTTTCCCAGAAGAAATCTTTCCTGTTGGGAAAAGAAGTTTGTATGGGATGATGGGAGTTCTGATCCAATACATTTTGACGACACCATGTTGAGTGTCCTCCAGGAGCACTTCATCTTGCCAATTTAGTGCAACAGATAGACGTTCAGCATGGACAGCATGGGAGACAGCAAAAAGAAATGCCCCTCCATTTAACTCTCTGCCTACAGAACACATTAAGCGGAAACGGGGGCGGGTTAACACAATATGTTCAATGATGGTTCATTTAATCCTGCTTTGTTGACCAGGCTGTAGCGGATATAAAACACAAAGCCATAAGCTTTGATTTTAAAAATTACAAAGGGTATGTTCACACAAAACATACAGCTGAAGTGTAGCTTGCTTTTGATTCTCTCTCCCGGATTCCATCTGATCATCCGGGATCGCTCGCTTTGTTTTAGATGAGAATACGTAATTCCTCAGCTTCCTTAAAGGGGGGGAGAGCAAAGAATGGGCTCAGCTCTGAAGGTGGAGCGAATGAGCATCTGTGGATCCCAACGTTCCGCCAGCCCTCCCGGGGAAAAACATGAATGGGAACAACGGTAACGCCTCCCGCTGAGGAAGCGAAGCCTTCCTCGGAAGCTGGGAATCATCGCTCCTCCCTCCGGTGTTCACGAGGTCCGAGACGTCAGTAGTGCATGGCAGTTTCCGGAACCGCTGACATGAGAGCCCCCTTCCTGCAAAGTATCAGGTGAGCAATTCAGAGGTTGAGGCGGGAGCGATGCTGCTTTTCACAAACGGGATGGGGGATGGGATGTGTTCGCGAGCTGGCGAAGAAGCACATGACGGGGTTCCTGGGCAACCTGGGAATGAGGCTTGAACAATGATAAACCAGATGGAGTGCAGGGCTTATATAAATGAAGCTAATTTGGAGCGACTGGAGTAGAATAGCTAAGATTTCAGGCGTTCACAGAAAATCGGAAGCGTTTTAATCAAATGAGGCTTCAGATAAATGGTAGTGTTTAAATTTCTTTCAAGACATCCAAAAATACCATATGCATGAATAGCGTCCTCTAATTCTATGTCTATTCATTCAAAAACAAATTTCAGAAACTTCAATGGGGCCTTTGCCTGTTCAAATAACGTTGTTGATTGAACGTTTTGTGGGAAAGTGAAGTAAGTACCAAGTACTTCTCAAGTTGCTGGCGAGCTTCAGCTTCCAGAAAAAGATTCCTTTGAATGCCAACTGTTCAAAGATGAGATTTTGGCTTAGTTGAAAAGAATGAACCTAGCCATTGTTGTTTGCACAACTTGAGTTGTGGAAAAGGCTCACAGTACTTTCTAGGCCGAAGATAAATTTACGATTCAAATTGGGTTCTAGGAGACTCGCCTCATAACCTTACATTATGCCAGAAAATTTACACATGCACATCATGAGCCCAAACTGCCATTATGTCCAGGCACCCTGACATCTGATACAAGGAGGTAAATTGTATTTTTTGCATCATTAAAACACATGTTTCATTACTTCCCCACCCGCACTATTTTTGGCCCATGCAAAAAAGTGACGCCAAGATGAGTAAAAGAAACATACCTATGATTTAATCCAAATTTAATTTGGATCAGATCAATTAGATGTGATAAACATAATTATTCATATATCTAAGCCATTTCCATTCCCTTTGATGTTAACATTTGTAAAGATTTTGCAAAACTTTTGTGGGCCTCAGGTTTGGGCATTCCTGGTTTGCAGATTGGTGTCATATATGAAGCAAGATATCTGAAGCAGCCTTAGACATTTTTGGTAGAATGGGGGCTAAATATGAGATGTTCTTGAGCCACTACTGATTTGTTAAGGAATGTGAACCAACTGTTAAACATAAATAATAGATAAAGGTACCAAATATCTTGGTACCAATACTACCAGACTAATAAGAGAATAATAGAACAACAGATTTAGAAGGGGCCTTTGAGCAGGATTCAAGCAGGAAACCCTATACCATTTCAGACAAATGGTTGTGGAATCTCTTCTTAAAAACCTCCAGTGTTGGAGAACCCACAACCTCTGGAAGTAAATCGTTCCAGTGATTAATTCCTCTATTTCACTATTTTTGAAAAAGCCCAGAAAGATTTAGCTGTTAATAAAAGATTTTATGCATATGTTATTATTATGGTAGGTGACATGGTCAGATGTTAGGGTTTGGCATTTTTATCCACTTATCAAATCTTTCCCAAGACCTGGGAGAGACAGATGTTTTTGTTTGATGGTATTTAAAGCTATCACCACAGAATGTAAGCTGTTCCAAGTAAAACTGCATTTTGCAATTGACTGATGGTGATTTTTCAATGTCGCTGATGTTCAAGAGGTGCTCAAGATGTTTTGGGATTGCACTCAGGGAGTCTATTCCTTTTGGTAGTATCTTCGCTTTCTTTTGCCAAAGTCATTCTACTCTTATTTACAGCTCTTTTAGTTTGTGATTTTCTTCAATTTTTTTTCTTCTCTTCTGCTGCTTCCAGGTATTGCATCCCTATCCAGTCTTTTTTGTTTTTCTTAACAATTGTTAAAATTTTATTAATATTACAGGTAGTCCTTGAGTTACAAACACTTATTTAACAACCGTTTGAAGTTACAATAGCACTGAAAAAACTGACTTATGATCAGTTCTCACACTTATGACTGTCGCAGCATCCCAGTGTCACATAATCACCATTTACAACTTTGCTAGGAGGCTTCTCACAAGCAAAGTCAATAGGGGAAACTGGATTCACTTAATGACTATGTGATTTGCTTAATGACCACAACAAAAAAGGTAATAAAATTGGGCATGACTCACTTAAGCTCTGCATGGCTTAGCAACAAAAGTTCCAGTCTCAATTGTGGTCATAAGTCAAGGATTACTTGTATTATATCCTACCATTTTTATAAGGATATAACTTACTATTATTATGGATGGTTACACAGCCAGATGTTTAGACTGGATATGACATTTTTAACCACCTATTGAGTCCTTCCCAAGGACCTGCAATATTATTTATTATATACATAACAATGTAAAGTCACAGCTGCCAATTCTTTAGCTGGCATTTGCCTTCATATGAATTGAGTTCTTCCAAGGAATGTATTATTTCATAATATATTGGTTTAGTATATATGTGGATCCAAGCAACTAGCCTTTTCTAGTTGATAGATGAAAATTTTGTCAATGCACAGATTTTCTAAATACATCTTTTAATTTATTTTTCAGATCTTGATATTTTGGGTTCTTCTCCAATTCTTTGTCTTCTACTCCAGGGCTTTTCAGCCGATGGTACGCATACTACCGGTGGTACATTCGCACCTGGCAGGTGATATGCGACCATCCCAGAGAAGTGGTAGTGGGGGAGGGGAATGAGCTGAAGCGGTGGCAACACCGCACAAGCCTGCGTGAGAGCTGGCTGAAGATGTAGCTGTCAGGACTCAGCAGAAGTGCCAGGATCAGCACTGGGCTCCAGCTAATCAGCGCTTCTGCGGGGCTCAGCTGAAGCACCAGGATCGGCGCCAGGCTCCAGCTGATCAGTGCTTCTGCAGGGCTGTCAGGGCTCAGCAGAAGCATCAGGATTAGCGCTGGGCTCCAGATGATTGGTGCTTCTGCAGGGCTGTGGGCTCAGCAGAAATGCCAGGATAAGCGCTGGGCTCCAGCTGATCGGTGCTCTTGCTGGGCTCAGCAGAAGCGCCAGGATCAGCTGGAACCTGGCGCTGATCCTGGTGCTTCTGCTGAGCCTGAAGAAGCGCCTATCAGCTGGAGCCCGGTGCTGATCCTGGTGCTTTTGTTGAGCCCGGCACAATCACTGATCAGCTGGAGCTTGGTGCTGATCCTGGCGCTTCTGCTGAGCCATGAAAGCCCTGCAGAAGCGCCGATCAGCTGTCATGGCTCAGCAGAAATGCCAGGATCAGCACAGGAAGGAAGAAAGGAAGGAAGGAAGGGATGGGAATGAGGAGGGAAAGAAGGAAGGAAGGAAGGAAGGAAGGAAGGAAGGAAGGAAGGAAGGAAGGAAGGAGATGGGAATGAGAAGAAGGGAGGCAGGGATGGAGGGAGGGAAAAAAGAAAGAAGGAACCCCCCCCCAACGGTAACCACAATGCTAATGCGGCCCTCATTGAAATTGAGTTTGACACCCCTGATATAAAATGGTTAAGTGAATCTGGTTTCTCCATTGCCTTTGCTTGTTAAAGGTTGCAAAAGGGGATCACATGACCTTGAGACACTACAGCCATCATAAATATGATCAGTTGCCAAGCATCCGAATGTAAATCATGTGACCCTGAGAATACTGAAATGGTCATAAATGTAAAAAATGGTCATAAGTGACTTTTTTCAGTGCCGTTGTAACTTTGAACAGTCACTAAGTGAACTGTTGTAAATTGAGGACTATCTGTACTTTATCACTTTTTTCCTTTTTTTTTTGGTCATCCATCAAGTTTTTGACACCTTGCTAGGTGACTGGTGGTACTCGGATACCGTAAAAGTGCTACAATGGGTGAAAAGGTTGGAAAGCCCTGTTCTATTCCACTGTCCCCTGGTATTGCAATAATCAGTTATACACACTTTCTAGAATCATCTTGCATCCTGCAACAATACCTTTAACATAGTCAAACAACATTTGTCAATTCCAGGTCCTTGAGAAGGACTGGATAGGTAGATAAAAATACCAAATCTACTCTAAAACATCTGGCTGACTGTGTGATGAATATAATTAAATGTATTAACTTCCCCGCTCTGGATGGCATACAAACTAGAAAACACTTGAAAAACAGCTATAAACACTACATTGGACAGACAGATCAAGCTAAAATGATCTAATAAACAACAAAACCTTAAAGACCTTAAAAACAAAACAAGACCTTAAACAAATAATAAACATCACACCATAACTCTGTAGTATTGGTTGGTCTGAGAAAGAGTGACTGGCCTAAAGTCACCCAGCCAGCTTTCAAGCCTAAGGGAGCCTAAGGAAAGCGTGAAACTCATGATCTCCTGGTTTTCTAATCTAGTACTTGAAACACAACTAAAAAATTATCTGTCTAGCATTAATTAATTTTTTTCTACAATACTGAACTATAAACAAATATGATCCCCTCACTTGGTTTACTTTAATTCCATACTTTTACACTTCAGTTCTCAACATACTTTTCATAATAGAGAAATCAGAAACGTGTGCAATTTTAAATGACTAATTAATCAATGTAAACCCTTAACTTTCCAATGTAAAACAAATGATGTGTAAGAATAAACATTTGAAATGCAATATTTCTGAGGAAATATTCCTATTTGGGGTTCTTCATTGGTTTTAATACCAAAAGGATTAAATGACAGTTTTTTTTCTAAAGTACAGTCTTTATTTCATTATTCTCCATATATAACAAAGAATTCATCTTTCTAATGCAGTGGTTCTCAACCTGTGGGTCGGGACCCCATTTGGGGTTGAACGACCATTTCACGGGGGTCGCCAAACAAGGCTGTCCGCCATTTTTTCCCCCTTTGGCCATGCCCCTGGCACCCGGTGATGTATAAGTGGTTGGGGGTCACCACAACATGGGGAACTGTATTATGGGGTCGCGGCATTAGAAAGGTTGAGAACCACTGTTCTAATGGCATTTTAAAGAAAATTTTGAAGAGAAAACAAGCGAAGATTCAGTGACAGTTTCTGAAGACTTTAATAATTCTCTTGCCTCTTACCTTTCAAGTGTTGGTTTTTGGAAACAAACTTGCAAATCAAAGAGAATAGGTTTTGGATAATTAATAATATTGATAGGTCTTATGTTTTAACTGAAGGCATGATCTTTTATCTTGATTTAGTTATATTTCATATGCTGCTTGATATAGAAAGCAGTGTTGGAATTATATTCAGTTAACTAAACTCATGCGACATAATAGTTCAGATGCTAGACTAAGGCACCATCCAAGCAAAATTGGTGCACTTATCTAGGTTTGATGCTTTTCTATTCTTTTCCAGTCATATTGTCTGTGTTGAGGAAATATTCAGTAGCTAAGCTACATTTGTCCAGGTGCTGTCTCAGAGGCACCACTGCAAATCTATTGCCACATTTTGTCTGAGGTTGAAGGGCCAATGTTTTTCCTTTGGGGGAACTCTACCTCTCTTAGATTTGCCTCTTCCTTCTTTTTCAAAGCAAAGTGTCATTGCATTTTGCCACTATCACTTTTTTCTTTAGGAGCAATTGGAGTTGTTTTCCCCCCTTTGGCTTCACTGTGAAAACTTTGTATTTCACTACAAAAACCAGGTGGTGGCTGGAATGCTAAGTTCTCTTCCCTTTGACCTCTTGGTGGCCTTTTTATCTTCTTCTCATTATCCCCATTCCAAGGAGAGGCAAAAAGGACACTCACAAAGAAGTATGGAATTATTGTGTAGGAAGTGCTCAAATTAAAGAAACTTCTTAGAGGCTGCAAGTATTAGGTAGAAGGCTATGCCAAATTCCTTGAGGGGATGATAAATTGAGCTGCAGTAAAGAAAGAAAGTAGGGATTGTACTGGGGGGGGGGAGAGAATTTGTTCTTTCCTCATGTAGTTGCAGTAGCCATTGGGTTCAAGTGGGAACCCTGGAAAAAAATACTCCTTTTGTGAAATTCTTCCTACTGGTAGCATATCAGCTGGTACTTGTTCCTGGAACAAAAGTTAATGAATAGGTATTCTTCTGTATCTTTTCTTTTCTTCCGAAGAGGTCGCTGTGTATTCCTATAGAAGACACCTTATTCTTTCAAATTTTTATTTTTTTCTATATGAGTTTTAGGCTCTCGTGCATGCTACCTTTCTGATTTGTTGGTCGGAATTATGACAGTTGATCTAAGGCTGATGTATATACCTATAGCCTCGAGCAACTGAGTTCATATCGTTATTATGTTCTGAACAATCTAATCCTGTGAAATATGTTAAGAGTATTGACATGCCTTGGGCTTTCTGGCTGAATAATGTTGACTGAAGTCCAGCCTATTCCCCCCCTCTCCCCCGAATGTCATGCTGCCTTCTGTTCTGCTATTGTGAACTGGTACAGTCTATTTTTGCAACAGTCATTATCTGCAATTATCCATTATGAGAAGAAAGAGGTTATTATGGCCAAAGTCTGCTTACCTTTGAAGTTTTGCCCTTTGCTTTGTCAGGTATTGCTGAGTTAATGAAGAGCAAGAACAGAACACAGAAGTGATTTCACTATCCAAGGCTGGGAAATTTGGGTTTCGGAGGGATACCTACCTGGGACAGGTAAAATATGACCCATATAGATGATGTTGGATAATGCTTGGGAAGATTTATTTTATAGAGACACAAATACTTAATTTCATTTTTGTTTGACTTTACTGTTTGTATTATTGCTTGTTGCTTTAATATCAAATATATTACCTGATTGCAATGTGGATAGTATGAAATGAGGGAGATCATCTGTATGCTTCAGAATATAGGTATTTGGTCTAGTGACCCACTCCAAAGAAATGGAAAGGGAGTAAAAAGGATAGCCCTTTTGCTAGAAATTGAATAATGTTATGGCAGAGGCCTTGGAGATACATCATTTGAAGTCAATATGTCCTCTCAAGATGCAGATTAGGTAGTAGACGCATGACATAAAAGAAAGGAAACCAGTAGGTCCTTCCTTCTTTCCTTCCTTCCTTCCTTCCTTCCTTCCTTCCTTCCTTCCTTCCTTCCTTCCTTCCTTCCTTCCTTCCTTCCTTCCTTCCCAAAATGGATCTAAGTATCTGTGAGAAAAGTTGTGCTTTTTCATTTGGCAAAAAAATGGGACAATGTCTTATAAGCCCAAGGAACATGAATAGGAACATGAGATAGAAGTCTAAGGATATAATTTTCCAAGATGTAAAATAAAATAATATTAAGGAAAGGAAAGGAAAGACAAGACCACTGGTTTCTTTTCTTTTATGTTATGCGCCTACTTTGTATAAATAGGAATCTAGGAGTAGAATATTGGTTCTAAAATATGGTTCTAAAGTAGACTAATTTGAGAAAAAAAGAATATATCATTAATGGATAAACTAGTTAGAATTATACAAAATATTTGAAGGATGCTGAAACGTTAATCTTATGCCTAGTTTATTTGCTATCATATTTTTCACAATGTTACTAAATTAAAGTATTATTTTGAAGATGGGAAGGATTAGATTCTTCATATTAGCAAAAGCTAGTACCTCAATTTTGAAATTGTATTTCAGTCATTATTGGCAGTGTGCTAGAAAAAAACTTGGTTACAGTATAGTAGATGCCATGTTTCAAATTTATTCTTGCCTGCCAGAGGCAGTTTCTGCTTCATTAATTGATCAGTGGCCATGGTACATATTGGAGTGGAAACTTGCAATCAGATTTATCAGCAGTAAAATTTCTGTCAAACAACAATTACGTCAGTTGATCTAATATGTGTTGTGCACCGTAACTTGTATAGGGATAGCAAATAGAATTCTGAAAGGGAACACAGGAAAAAAAAGGATGTAATGGTGGCTGCCAGTGAACTTGGAAAAGCTTGATGAAAACACAAGATGTTAACTCAGACTTTTCTACCCTTCCTTTACCAAATCTGTTGAGATGAGACAAGGGATTCTGGTCTCAGAAGTTGAAGCTTCTACATTTAGGGAGCACCAGCTAATGAAAAATATTGTTAGAAGTTTATTTTTCAGAATCTCTTTTAAATGGTCTGAAGAAGAATGAATTTGATCTGGCAGTTTCTTTTTTTGCATTATTAGAGTAAAACCCTCCCACCATTTCCAAGCCTACTTTACAACATCATAGTTTTCTAAAGGACAGAAAAGTTGTCTTATAATTATCTTGATGTGATAAAAAATGATTGAATTAGGAAAAATGCCGTCTAGTTAATGCACCATGGTAGGGGAAACAGTGACTTTGCAGAAGTTTATTCAAGGACAATTAATGTGTGAGTACTTTGTTGTTTATGGCAGATTTCCCTGTCTTCTACTTTTTGAAGAAGTATCAACCACTTGCCAAATTAATTGTTCAGATACAAACCTCAATTAATCTTAAAATATGTCAATAGTATTTAATGTAGCAAACATTTCACTTGATTGTCCAGTGAAATCTATACCATTTAGGCAATGGAATCATTTGAGAATGCACAGCAGACAATGTCTTAAAATATGTCAATAGTATTTAATGTAGCAAACATTGTCGCTGATCAGCACATTAAATACTAATCTATGCTGTCTTGCATTTGGAAGAGATTGTGTAATGTAATATGTCGAACAATGCTAGATTCAAACTTTCAGAACAAACAAATATTTATCCCTACCATGGAGAACAATCCTTGAACAATCCTGGCTGGTAGAGCTTGCTGTTTATTCCTGGCAAGGAAATGTAGTAACATGGAAGAGGTGATGGCTCTCAGAACTTTCCCTATGACTGAAAACAGCAGCAGCTTGTGAATTATTTCCTTCCTGTTCTGTGTCCTTGCCCTTCTCTCATGTCTCAAAGCATCTGTTGCTTTTTAACTCCAAATGTTTCCTTACATATAGCTTCTTCCAAGCTGCCCCCTTTCAGCTATCCACTGCCAAATAATTCAGGATGATTAATGTAAGATCCATGAGGGCTTATCAAGGAAACAATTGTGCAACCAGCCTTGGTCCATGATGCACCACTCCAGTGTTTTCATGACTGGGCATTCAGTGGAATTTTAAAACTCAAAATTTCTACTGATTGGAGAAGGTTGATGCCTTTTCCGTTGTGCCCCAAATATGTAGAATGTGTTTCTAAGAACTCTCTTTCTTATCCTCAGTTTGGGTTAGTGGTTAAGGCACCACTCTAGAAACTGGGAAATCCTGAGTTCTAGTCTTGTCGCCGGATGGGTAACTTGGGGCCAGTCACTCCCTCTCAGCAGTAGGAAAGAGACAATGCCAATGTGGTTTTGAAATCTTGCCAGGAAAACTGCAGGGACTTGTCAAAACTTCTGACACCTGGAATCAAGATTGACACAAAGGCATATTCACACACACAAAGTCTTTTCAAAGGCAAGTCTCAAGACCACAACAAGTGGTAATTTCATAGGCTATTATTTCATCCGATCTGTACTGTGCAAAGTTGGGAAGGGCTATAAATATAGATTCAAGTGATTTCACTTGAAAAATTTCTACTTGATAATTTTCTGGAATTTTAAATCTTCAGTTCAAAATCAAATCAGCTCTTAACTTGTTGTTTTTCTAGTAGGACCATGTTTCCGAAAATAACTACAGAACTGCTGAAGCAGCTCCGGCAAGTGATGAAAAATTCCAAATATGTTTCTGAACCCATTCACGCCTACATTGTGCCCTCAGGAGATGCTCATCAGGTACTGGATTGTCTTCTGCTTGAAAAATGCAATTCAGAAACACTAAAGTAATTCAGACCATAGGAAAAAACTGTGATTCTCACCAAACAGACTGCAATGTGCTGTGATATCAGTAATCATTAACAAGGTACAATTTCAGTGAGATAGCCTTTTAATGTAGAATTGTAAATTTGAAGCTTCCATGCAATGTCAAGTATCACATGATTGGTGTTCAAGCTTGCAAAGACTTCCTCACTGCATACAGTTACATTGTCCTTGTAGATGAGCAGTTCTTCAATGTAAAGCAGAACATAATAAGTTGGATCAGGTTTATGGTTATCATGGCAGCCATGAACTCTGGGCCAATCCAGATCTGTTGTCAAAGCAATGCAAGTGAAGGTTTCCCAGCACTAGCAACCCAGGGAATTCTATATCTTAATCATTGCTAGTAGAAATAACTTTTTAATAATGATATAAATATGTTAAAGATCATCATAGTTAAGATTAATTACCATATAGGGATCAACTGTAATGCTACATGGTTAATTGACATTGAAAGAAAAAGGAAAAGTTGGAGACTGTACTGTATTCTTTTTGGTGTTCAACCATATTCTTAATGATATGAAGACATCTGATGAGAAATATGCCAAGATCTTTCTGTGCATATTTCAAGACTGAAAGAATAACAGCAAGAAATCAAGGCTAATTTATGTGTTTTTCTATTACTTTGTATCCTTTTGATCATCATTATTTTTGCTTTTTATTTTTATCTTCCTCAGAGTGAATACATTGCACCTTGTGACTGCCGTAGGGAGTTCATTTGTGGATTTAATGGCTCTGCAGGTAAGTTTCTAGAACTGTGTCCACTCTATTAGTAGCTCTGTAGAATCCAGTGCCAAATCTTTCTTCCTATGAATGGAGCCCTTAATGGGAAGCTTTGTGTTTTTCATTAAATTATACAGAGAAGCTAAACTTCTGTATTTTTCTTTTCTTTTGAATATCCTTTCCTTTGTCTGTTTTTACATATAGATGTTCAGACAGACATCTGTAAAATATGGTCCCCAAAATATCACTTAGCATTAAAAAAAAATGAACATGCATCCCAAATGTTTTATATTTCTTTTTGGGTTAATTTCAGTTTTGACTAAAGCGAGAAAATCAAACGTTTGCATGCTCTCTGCATAAACTGTTCTATACTCAATGGAATAGAATAAAATACATAAATGTTATTTATGCTGCCACTGGTATGCACTGAGGCATTGACATGTATTTAGTTATGTGTGGAGTGATATAGATGCATTACATGCATTACATGATATAGATGCATTACATGCATTAAGTGAAAATTCTAGTCATCTGTATGCTCACTGGGAAAAATGTTAAGTTATACATCAAATCAGATAGATTTTTTTTGTTTTTATTTTATTTTTAATACAATAAAATGTCAGCTGGTCATAGAGAACTATCCATACAAGTTGACTATTTAAAGTTCTTTCAGAGACTTTGATGTTGTATTAATTCCGTATTCAGTGATTAAAGTAAATAGAGAACATTCTTGAATACCAGATGTGAGCTTCCTGCTTGAAGAATATGATGATATTTTGCAACCTTTCAACATTTTTGTGGATCACATATCATGGATAATCTGTAACGGCCCATGAGCCAATGATGGACAGGTGAAAGATGGGGAGTTTTTTCACTTCTGACTCTTCATGATGGACATCCTATAAGTAGGATTGTCTGTAGGACCATCTGTTTTCTTTGTTTCTAACCATACCCATAGCCATTTTTTTTCTTTTTGATTCCTGATAGAAAAGAAACACATCACATTTTCCAAATCTTTCTAGATCACTCTTGTTTTCAGCGTGTTGGACCAAATAGGCCAGATGACCTAAGGACTATCACATCTGGGCTTCAGATTGTGTATCCATTGCATATCTGGATATACTGTATTACACTCAAATCTTCCAGGCCACATTCATATGCATTCCCAACAATCCTGCTTTCATTTTTCTTTTGCTCAAATAAAATTCTATGTATATTTATTCAAAGTAATCCCTAACTGGGATTATTTTTAAATAAGTGTGAATGAGATTGTACAATTCTATCCAGAATGTCTATCCAGCATGGGTAAGTGCACATCAGACCGAACCCTTAGATATATTAGAGACCTTTCTTTTCCCCTTTTCCCCTTTCCTCCTTTCCCTGTGTATATCGATAAGGAAAAATTGCAACACTATTGATAATAATTTGTATGTATGCATACAAGAGAGAAACAATAAGTAGCTCATTTCTGAAGAACTGTTTGGTTTTGGTGTTTACATGCTGGGCAGAAAAAGTTTTGAAAGGTTTGAATTGTTGCTTCCCCTTTCAGCATGCACACCAGCTGGACTGGTGATGTAATACCAGAGTAGTAATGAGCTTTTGCTGACCCTTAGATGACTCTCCAATAAAACAAAAATCCTGTTAGCTATTTCATAGAGTACTTGCAGCTTTCCTTTTTCTCTGTCCAAGGCCTATGAAAATAGGATATTTATACTCAGGGATTTGCAGTAAACAATATCAATTAGCCAAGTTTAGTTTCCCTAAAGAACATTTTCTGCATCTGAAATTACTGGGCATTGAACACTAATATGCTCTCTCTCTCTCTCTCTCTCTCTCTCTCTCTCTCTCTCTCTCTCTCTCTCTCTCTCTCTCTGCCTGTGAGAGAGTGAGTCTTGCATCAGAACAGCATGTTCAGTTTAGCAACATTTCCTGTGGCTTCAAACATTGCAATGTAGCCTTAAGATCTGGGTTTAGTTTCAAGCTGTGCTACTGATTAACATGCAGTGCTAATGTTGTCAAGTCACCTTTTCTATGGCTTCCTGTTTGCCTGGTATATATAGCTCTGGTGGACCTCTAATTATAATAAATCAAATCATCCAATAGATTTCTATCCTTCAATCATAGAGCAAAGTGCCTTTCACAATGTTCCAATTGGCATTTTTTCCTTACTTTGTTGAAGTGACATATTTTAATGGTTTGATCTCTAGTGACCATTCAGATAGTTTTAATTATTTTTTAATTTCCAGCTTTAATTATCTTTTGTTTCCAGCCTTTTCTTCTGCCTGGCACAAATAACTTTGTTTTATAGAATAAGCATTTCTTTTTTCATATACCCAATATTCCATTGATTTTGAAAAAAATGATTTCAACTATTTCTTTTTTAATACTGCCAGGCATTCATGGTAGGTGTCATCAGTGGTTTGGCTTAGCAGGCTAAGAGAAATAGCTTCCTTCTTCTTAAGCTTTTTTTCAACAAGAACTCCAAAACTCCATCTAGGCTTGAGATGTTTTAGTGTTAACATCTGATTAATATTTTCTTCTCCTGGATTTATTAAACGAGAGCAATGTCTTCCAGTGTATCTGTAGTTTCAGTTCTGCTATCTTCTCTGCTTTCTGACAGGAACTGCCATTATAACAGAGCAACATGCAGCCATGTGGACAGATGGACGCTATTTCCTTCAGGCATCCCAACAAATGGATTCCAATTGGACACTCATGAAGATGGGTGTGTGTGAGCCCAAACCAGGGTTTTATTTCATCTTACCTAGAAAATTATTTTAGCTGAGAAGTGCCCAACAGGATCATATTGAGAAACCTCTATTGGCACACCATCGAACTATTATTTATCAAACTGTAATATATAACATGAGAAAAGGGAATAATTATTAAGGATAGAATACATTGTATTTAAGTAATAAAATTCATGTAAGTGAAATTAGACTTTTAACTTAGTTCTACCTGGTTTTTTTGTAAAGTTATTCTCTGACATGCTACAAGACCAGTGAAGGCCTTAAACCTAATGTCATGAATACCTGCTTTGTTTGAAACAGTATTTTACATTATGTAAACGTAAGTTCTTCAGTTAATGAGTTGCATTTGTTATTAGTTGACAACATGTAATTCCAGTTTTGTCAGGCTGAGTGGCCTGCAGGCAGAAATCAGAATAAAGTAAGTAAAATTAATATTCATCATCATCATCATCATCATCATATTTTAAACAGAATGTTGACACTGCTAGTTCATGTGAATGTTACAGAAATAGGTCTTGCTTTCTCAGGTTGCTTTTGTCCATCCAAGAGAATGCAAATGATTTCCTTGTAGGAAGCAAGGCAATTATCCTATCCAGTTCCTCTTGCTTTGAGTTGACCTTGTTTTAATATTTCCAAACTTGTCTTTTGGATTTTCCTTTTCTTAGGACTGAAAGACATTCCTACTCAAGAGGACTGGCTTGTAAGTGTACTTCCTCAAGGTTCTAAAGTTGGAGTGGATCCTTCTATTATTCCTGCTGGTGAGTTTGACCAAGTGCTTTCATCTTAGTGTAAAGGGTTAAACTTTTTCACCTTGCCCCAATCTACTATTCACCTTCAGGGGGACCCCAATCAACTTTGTTCGGTCTGCAGTTAGTGGTATAGAGCAATAGCATACTGCCCCCAACAATCTATTTAAAGTATTGCTAATTTTCCTTTTGGCCAATGCACAGCAGAGCACAGTTTTCTGGCAGGACGGGTTCTGTAGCATGCCCCATCTGCTGGAGCGAGTTGGGTGGGCCAGTCCCATTGGTTTGTGATGGTTCCTCAGGTAGTCTGGTCTCATACCATGGAGGGCTCTATAGGTGATAACTGATACCCTGAATTGGACCCAGAAGAAAACTGGCAACCAATGCAACTTGCACAACAGCAGGGTTAGATAGAGATTATGTATATGTATAGCAGTAATGCATTATATAACAGATTTTTTCTCTGCATCTTTCAGACCAGTGGAAGAGGATGAACAAAGTTCTGAAATGTGCTGGCCATGTTCTTGTGCCAGTGAAAGATAATTTGATTGATGCCATATGGGCAGATCGGCCACCACGACCTTGTAAGCCTCTGATGACACTAGATCTTAGCTTCACAGGTAAGAGGAACCTAATTATGTTCGCAGATACAGCATTAAACATCGTTTTCTAATGTGATACTCTCCAAATTTTCTGATTTTTTTAACCAACATCTAGATGGCAGGCATCTAGTCAGCAGGCTCCTTTTTAATTCTGTCTTGACAGAAATGGGATGGGGTCGGCATGATATTTTGAAAAACACTGTTGTGACCTTAATGTTTGCTAACTCATTAAAATAGCTCTGAAATATAGGTAATGCTGTCCATTTGCATCAAGAAGACCTTTGCTGTTGTTCTGAATTCCAGTTTGGCTGAGTTCTAATTTCAGCTTGTTACAGGAATCAGTTGGAAAGAAAAGATTACAGCTCTGCGGGGCAAAATGGCTGAGAGGAAGGCTCTCTGGTTTGTTGTGACAGCTTTGGATGATGTGGCTTGTAAGTATCAGTACGGGGCCATTCAGCATTATTTTATTGCTGTTGAGTGATTTCTGTGCATTGGCAGTGAAAATATGTCCTGCAATATGTCCGGAGTATAACTCCATTTTTTTCTTAGACCATAGTTTGCCTATGGTCATACTTGTTGAAAAAAAAAACATGATAGGCTGAACTCGTAAAATATAGTATGCCTAAAACCAAGATTTATAAATCACATAGCTGACTTTCCATAACATCATAATCCTAGATATAATAATAATAATAATAATAATAATAATAATAATAATAATAATAATAATAATAATGATGATGATGATGATGGAAGGGACCTTGGAGGTCATCTAGTCCAACCCCTTGCTCAGGCAGGAAACCCTATACCATTTCGGACAAATGGCTGTCTACTCTCTTCTTAAAAACTTCCAGTGTTGGAGCATTCACCGCTTCTGGAGGCAGATTGTTCCACTGGTTAATTGTTCTAACTGTCAGGAAATTTCTTAGTACAGTATGAAAATCTAGCTGGTCATTAGCAATCCTTTTGAAATGCAGAGATCAGAGGAATTAGCTGATCAATGCAATTAACAATGAAGAAAGGGAGGCTGGTGGTCCCCAGTAATGCTAAGCACTCAGCATTAGATGGATGAAAAATCCCTAGCTCTTGAAGATAATGGGGTACTCTTCCAAGACTCCCATACATAGAGCTAACAGCAAAGCTGTATATCTGTCTAAAGTAAGGCTTCAGTGACTTTTCTTAGGCTAAAGCTATGTTGAGGCTTTGGGTGGGCTGCTATAAATCAGGATTCAGAAAAGAAGGCCAGTTCAAAACTAAATTTGATGCCATTTGATTCTCATTTTAATTTGAGTTGAGCGAAAAGCATTTTCAGTGCAGCCTAATAGTGCCATCTTGTGGCAGAAGCTTTGAAAGGATCCAGAAATTTTATCTGGATCAGGATGTTGGTTAAAAGAAGGCTGGTTGGATGTTAATCAAGGCTGTAACACTACCTTTTTATTATGATACAGGGCTTTTTAATCTTAGAGGGTCTGACGTGGAATACAATCCAGTGTTCTTTGCTTATGCTATCATAGGGAAAGACACTATCAGGTAAGAAGAACTATAGCTTTCTCAGTAATTTTACTAATTTGTTGTTAGTTGCGAAGTCGTGTCTGACTGGTATTTTATTTTTTAAAATGTACATAAAATCTTTAAAAACAAAGTGTTTCTATTAACAGGTATATGTATTTCTAAATCAGTATTAATGGATGTAATATAGGATGCCTTTAAAGCCCATTAAGCAATTTTATTTTATTTTTTGAAGCTCTTGATTGATTTTCTGTACTAATTTCTGCTTCATGTTTGTCTTAGCTTTTATTAACAGAAACATTATCCAGCGCCTGATAGACTTCACCACTTTTTACTCAAACATTGTTTATGTAGAAAATTACCATATAACATTATATTGCTTGCTTTTTAAGAAGTGTGCTTTAGGGTGACTTGAACAGAATGTTATGTACGGTATGAAACTTAAAATTTGAACAAAGGTTAAACTGTACCCTGAATAGATTCTGTTTTGGATATCATCCCTAATTAATATTTCTTAAATTTACTTTTATGAGAGTTATTATCTTAAAGGTAATGTAGTAATTTATGAATAAAAGACATCAAGCTCTTTAGGACTTTCCCAATGACCTTCCATAAATGTAAAGACAGTTGTCGCTCCTGTATTAAAGGGGTAGATTATCCCAGAAATGTCATCTTTTGCTTCTTTTCTCACTCTTCTCTTTTAGGTTGTTCATTGGTGGCAATCACTTAATAGATTCAAATGTGAGAGAGCATCTGTTTTTGGATTCTGCTCAGGACCCTGAATTGCACATACAAATTCTGCCATACGATTCCGTCCTGACAGTTCTGAAATCAATTTGTGAATCTCTTTCTCCACATGAGAAAGTTTGGCTCAGTGATAAAGCCAGCTATGCTCTAACTCAGGCCATTCCCAAGGTGTGTACATACTAATTTATGTCTGAAACCAAGATCTCAGAAGCTGCTAAGGCTTTTTGGATGGATGAAATGACTAGCAAATTAAAATAATTTATTGAAGAAGTGTGTTGGATTAGAAAAAGACGGGCAGGTGAGGTTATCAGCATCTAAAACAGAGAGAGAGAGAGATGGAGACAGACACAAAATATTTATTTATTTTATAATTCTAATAATAAAGAAACTCAGCAGCCTAAAATTATATTTGTCTGATTTTGTTGCCATATTCTACTTCCAAAACCCTCTTTACAAACGTTCTTATCAAATTCCGTATTCTCAGTGCACTTGATTTTCTTAGTCAGAAATTTTGTCTTTCAAATGTCATTCTCTTACCTTCAGCCCTTTCATCTAATCTATGAAGATCATTTTGATTCCCTCATTTACCCAGCTTCTACCATTCCGCAGATAGAAGAAGCATCCCCTCCACTTTTTTCACTAAGTCATTAATACAAAAAAATTTACATGACCAAGGCCTGAACCTGTTTCTCCTTAATTTAAATGCTTACAACTAATTAATCAATTAATGCTTACATTTAACTAGTTTGCTAATCAGAACATCATGAAGAACTGTATTTAATACCTTCCTGAAATTAATTATATTTGTAAAAGTTCAACAAAGGTTATCTGACTTTTTGAAAAAAGAAAGAAGGTAAGATTGATTTGGTAATCCTCACTGTTTAATCCATGCTGGCATCTGGCAATTACCACATCGTTTTCAAGATGTATGCAAATTAATTTGTGGTATGTTCTAGATTGATAATTCCTTGGATCTTCCTTTTTCCCCTTATTGAATATAGGAACAACATTTTCTCTCCTTTAGTTGTCTGCCAATTCTCCAGGATTTTTGCAGATGATACATAAAGATTTGGTGAGGCCATTAGCAAGTTCCTACAGCAACCTAATTATGCAGTTCTTCTGACCTTGGGAATTTAAATTATTTTTGATTAAAGATTTATTCCATGATCATGTCTCTCAATTTCAAGCCTTAATATTGCTATTTTATTCTGCTGTTTACATTTACCTCTCACACATGGGAGAAAAAATGCGCCAAAATACTTTAAAAGCTCCATCCTTTTGTTTCTTTTCTTTTAGCATTTTGATGCTCTGAGATTTGTTCAAGGATATAAATGCAAAACAGACAGAGTCTGGGAATGAGTAAATTATCAGATTTTGATCCAAGCACAGATAGGATGTTGAAGAAAATGTAGCTTACTGTAGTGACCATGTCATGCCACACCTAGACTATTAGAGGCCTGACCAAACTCTGCTTTGTTTTGTCCATGTTTCAGGATCACCGCTACCTCACCCCCTACACTCCCATCTGTATAGCCAAAGCTGTGAAGAATGTGACAGAAGCGGAAGGCATGAGGAAGGCTCATGTAAGTGATCCTCCTAGTTTCCTAAAGCAACAGCCTTTGGTGCAAAAAGCTGAAATAATGAGATATTGTGGGAAGAATTGCTTTCATTGCAATTGATTGCTGAAAATATATGGTAACCGCTGGGTGGATTTTTCCAAATTCTTGTACACTTTTAACTGTTTTATTTCTCCTTCTTTTAATAACAGATTAAAGATGCTGTTGCATTGTGTGAGCTGTTTAATTGGCTGGAGAAGGAGGTACAGTTATGTGGACTATTTTTATGAGAGGAGTATTACTTGGAGTGAATGCTTACATAAATAGCATAACAGCATCATGGATCTAGGAAAGACATAACCAACCTTGAGCCATGTAGGCCTTTATGGGTAATGACTATTGTGGGTCCTGAACAGAGGTACAATGTGTTCTCTGAGTCTAGAAGGGGCATCAAGTTATGGGCCTACATTCCAGGGGAGCACAACCTGTTATCCTGCAATCAGTAAGTTTCTTAATAAATAGCCATTTTGTCTTGTTTGGGTTGAACCTGTACCTATTTCTCCCCATTCATATCCTGAAGGTTTCCAGGCATTGTGTGTTCTGCCATCTTTCATTTGGCACACAGTGAAGGTACTGGGTATCACTTGCCTATTGATGATACCTCATTCTGAAATGTTGGGTGACACTTCCAGTCTTTATATCCAGCTATGCAGATGTTAAGAGTTGAGAAAATACCAAACTCTGGGACACAAGAAAATGAATAAGGAACTGTCCTCTCCCCCCCCCCTTTCATCACCAACAGAATTTGCAATTCAGGAAAGAACAGAAGGACTGTAAAATGGTGCTTCCAACTCTCATAGGTGGTGCTAAAGGATAGTGTGGTCAATAGTGTTAAAAGCTGTTCTATTAGTATTATTAGTAGTGAATGTCCAATAGGATAAAAATAGTCACAATCCTCTCTCCAAACCCTACCACAAGTCATCCATAAGAGCAAACAATGCAATTTCCATTCCATGTCCAATACGGAATATTCCCAATTATGTCATTGAGATACCGTATATGCCGGCGTACAAGGCGACCCGGCGTATAAGACGACCCCCGTCTTTGTCGCCGAGTCGCCTTCCTAGAACGTCATCTTATACGCCGGAAACTACCAGTATTTCCGGTGTATAAGACGACCCCCGTCCTTGGCGCCGATTTTAGCGCTTCCGGAAGTCGCCTTATACACCGGCATATACGGTATATTCTTCATAACTGATGCATAGGCATTTTGTAATTATTAGTCCACATATTGAATACTAATATGTAATGGAGGGAAGCTAACAATGGCATATCAGAAAAAATGCAAAAAATAAAGAAGTCTGACTGAGGTTATGCTATTATATTGATTTAATACTACTTTGTCTGATCCTTGCCAGGTTCCCAAAGGCAACGTTACGGAAATCATAGCAGCAGATAAAGCAGAGGAATTTCGTAGGTAAGAAAAAGACTCACGTGGGATGTCCTGGGTTACTGCAGTCCAGGTTCAGTCAACTGTAGAGGTGGCAGCGACTGTTAGATGATTTCACATGCCAAAAATGAAAACATTTGCACATGCCAAAAAAATGACATTGTTCTTTTAAAAATAAGCCACGAAATCTCATGAGATTTCATGTGGGAGCAGATAATATTGTGCCATTTGGCAGTCTTTCAAGATTTCAGCCATTTTTAATTTTAGAAATTACAATGTTTTGTGGAGTGTAAACTCTACTTTTAAGACAAAATTAATAAACTTGAGTATAGACCTATTCTGAAGCAGTCCAGCTAACATTTAACTGTTGTTAGTGGATGGAGACCCTAAAGGGACCATTAATTAGTGCCTAATTCCCCCTCCATTTCAGCTTTCCAAATCTTGGTTGATTTACTACCTTATTATTAATCTAGAGCAGTGGTTCTCAACCACAGACCCCCTTTAAATACCTTTTGTGGTCCTGGACCATGGCCACGGACCACCAAGACTTAACTCAAATTTAAATCATAACATTTCTTCAATCCTTCGCAGACTCTCATGAAGACATCGTGGCCTGTCCTAGAAGTCTGCGGACCACATATTGAGAACCACTGTTCTAGAATAAGCTGAACAAATCCTGGCTTGCATGACTAAGTTATTAGGTTCCACATCTCCAGAAACTGTCCTCACTGAACTAGAGTAGTGAAAGATGAAGACTTTGGTTGGTCTTGGTTTCTTAGAATTCATAGTTGTGTACCTTCTCCCTATAATAGTTCTTAGCAGTTCAAACCCCACCCAGCTAAGGGGAAAGAGAATAGGCAAATAGGATACAGAAGAGGCAGCTAAAGGAAACATGACTAGGAAGAATCTGAGGCTTTCCTCAGAGATTTGTTTTTTTTCATGACATGTATGTCTTTTTCAGCCAGCAAGAGAACTTCGTTGACTTGAGCTTTGCTACCATTTCAAGTACAGGCCCAAATGGTGCTATCATTCATTACAAGTAAGAGCAATAAAAATCCTTGCACCTCACTGCTGATTGTATAACCAAAAGGACAACTAGCATGATAGTATCTAGCAGCTTAGTTCAAATTAAGGGATAAATTGATTACTATAACTGGATTGCAAAGAGCAAACCTTTTCCTCACATTCCAACTCATCAAATATAACCCTTATGTCATTTGAGGCTTCTTATACCTGAAATGATAATCTCCATCAGTGGTAGCCTTAATCTAGACTTCTGGCTATTTAGTTTATGTGGGGATTAGAGAATTAGAATCTTCATACTGTCTTGGGATTTCTTTATACCTGTTTGTGGAAGAAATAACAAAGAAGAATCTGACTTGTGCCATAATCAGGTAGAGATAGAAATTGGCTTTAAGATTGGTTGCTTTCTCTTCTAGCTATTTGTGTGTTCAAAATTATTACTGTCAAAATGGAATCCTTGTGATTATTGCCATAAAAGTCCAAAATGTGAGGCTTATTATCCCTGTTGCCAAGGACTGCATGACTTAGAATTTGGAAAACTGCCTTTTAAAAGAAGGCTTAAAAATAGTTTCAGTGAACAGCTGAGTCTTGGTCAGAGACCTTGCTTTGGAATAGAAACTAAAACAGATTTAAATGATGGTTAAAGATGAAGGAAAAGGAACTACCATGCCTAGGCTGCTTACTCTCTATTTACCTATTTCTTCAAAGTATGCAAATACAATACACTACATGAGAGTTCAATCCAAGGAATTAAGTTGTCAATAATTTATTTATTTAAATGTTTACAGCCTCTCATCTCCCATTTCATTATAGCAATTCTGGGTAGCTAACAACATGTAAAAACACTTTACAAAATAAGAAATAAATAAAAAATATAGAAAATGTATAATAAGTGCTGAGATAAAAAAAACCACACCTGATAAACAATGAACATCCCACAGAGTCCAGCTAACCTAAACTCCATTGCCCGGGAACAGATCCAAATTTTTAAAGCTTTTTGGAAGGCTTGCAAGAGTCATAGCTAATCTAATCTTTGAAGATAAGATGTTCTGAAGGGCAAGTGCTCTGAGGGAAGAATCTCACTTTCTGGGCTCCACAAGATGATATTCTTCCAATAGATAAAGAATGCCGCAGAATATCTTTCCTGCCTGATTGAAAGGGATTGGTAGAAATGACCACAGAGAGTTACCGTGTAGCTAATACATTGTATAAACAAACAAACAATGCACTAATAATCTGGCTCCATGCTGCAAAAGACTTCCTTCAACATATATATATATTATTAGCTTATAGTATAAAATACGAAAATACAAAAGCAAGAAGTAGGGATCAAAGGGAAAGGAGAAAGGAAAAAGAGACGTATAGAATAGGAGGGAAAAAAGAAAAAAAGGCATTGACTTCCGACTCCCTCTGTTACAGTAAAATAAGACCTTAGCATCCAACCTCAACTTTTTACTTTTCCATAATAGTATAAACTAGCCATTTCTATAATAACAAATCAATCTAATCAGTAAAACCCCAAATCAAAGCACAAAGTCCAGAAGCGGCTTCCAAGTAGAGACAAAAGTACTTGTGTGCTTTTCTTTGATCAGAACACTCAATTTAGCCATCTCTGCTAACTCCATCAACTTTTGTAGCCATTCATCCATGGTGGGAATCGAAACATTTTTCCATTTTTGTGCATAAAGTAATCTTGCTGCCGTCAACATATATAAAATCAGAATTTCAATTTTTTTCCAAGTCTTTTTCCATTAGGCCCATAAGTTTATGGTTTTATCTTTACATTCACTTTAAGAATTTTCTGTATTAGAATATGAATCTTACTCCAATATTTCTTTGCTTTTTCACATGTCCACCATAAGTGATAAAAAGTACCTTCTTTACATTTACATTTCCAACAGTCATTTGAGATATCTTCATGCATTCTAGATAACCTATCTGTTAAATACCAATGATACATTATCTTATAAAAAAATTCTTTTAAATTGTAATTTAGTGTGAATTTTAAGCCTTTCGTCCATATATTCTCCATTGTTCAAGCATCACATTATACCCCAAATTCCTTGCCCACTGAATCATACAATGTTTTACATGTTCACTTTCCAAATTCAATTTGAATAACATTTTGTAAACCTTAACAATAATATGTTCATCACTATTACATAGTAAAGTTTCCAATTCTAATGATAACTATCATCTTGAGTTGACGCAGAGTACATCAAAGTGAGCCGATAGCTGCCCACACCTTTGCATTCTGAACCAATTGAAGCTCCCAGATGTTGTTCAAGGCCAGCCTCATGGGGACAGCCTTCTGTAATGATATGATGGAATGACTTTGAGGGACAAGGGGAAAAAACACTGCCTAGGACCTGAGCAGATAAAAGAGGAGGAGTTCTCAGTGCTTAATGGCCAAGAAAGAAACTTTAAAAGGGTCTGCCCTAATAGACTGTTAAAAGTGATGGCAAGAGATTTGAATTTAAAGACTTGTAAGATTCTGTTAATGTAGCCTGGGAATAAAATGGAATTACATTACCTGATTGTATTTCTTATTTGGTTTATCTGGGAGAGCTATAAATTTATTCAGGAGGTGACCAAGCCATGATTGACTAACTAATTCAATTAGTGCAGAAAAAGAAGTGCTAAAACTCTCCTAACCAAAGTTTCCATGTGTTCCTTTAAGAGCAAGTCAAGGAGGAATCCCAAGTGGAAAATCACCATATCTAAGGACCCTCAAACACAATGCCATTCAGTCTTGCTAGGGATTAAGCTAAAGCCTGCAGTTCTCCATTTGCCTCCCCCCCCCCAGCTTCCAGCTTCCAGACACCAAGACAACGCATCCATAACCTCACTTGGTTGCCTATGGTAGAAATGTAGAATTGGGAATCATCAGCATACTTATCATATTTCAGTGGGGAAATTAGATAACCCCAAAAGTTTTATATAGTTTTAAAGTGAAAAAGAGAGACATCTGAACTCCAAGGCACCTCACCCAGAAGGAAGAGATCAAAGAGAACAGGATAGATATACCAGACCCATCCTGCTCCTGCCAAATGTTATCCACAAGAGCAGTGAATGCTGTTTAATCAGCAAGATCTGAAACCTGACTAAAAGGGGGTTCAGATAATTTACTTCCTCCAGGGTTCTCTGAAGCTACAGGGCAACCAGAGGTGGGATTCAGCCAGTTTGTACCACTTCGGAAGAACTGGAAGCTAATTTTTTGTTGCCCAGGCCCAGAATGGACTTCTGGAAGCAGCATTCATACAGAGAACCGGTTGTTCACATATTTGAATCCTACCACTGAGGGCAATCATTTTCTCAACTATCTTTCCCCAAAAGAAAAAGTTGGAAACAGGATGGAAGTTTCCAATATGGTTGAGTTCAATGATGGCTTCTTGAGGAAAGTGTTGACCACTACTTTATTTAACATCAACAGGACAAGTTTCTTCCTCAAGGAAACAGGTGTGTACTAGATGATAGTAGCTATTCCACCACCTCTGCCCTGAACTTTTGGTTGATGTCAGGTTTATGAGAGAGAACAGTCCCTCCAAGCCATCCAGGTCTTAGTTATACATGAACTTTGTAGATACTTAGACTAGTATATGTAACAGACCAACCAACTCTGTTAATGCTAAGCATGGTACATGCATAGCAAAGTTAATCATCTAACTGTATAATTTAAGCATTCCTGAAACAATGTTGAAACAATAAATTATATTATTATTGTTATTGTTATCGCTATTATTATTGTATAGGCCTTCTCCTGAAACAAATAGAACTTTGTCCTTGAATGAGATTTATCTCTTGGATTCTGGTGCTCAATACAAGTAAGTGGGTTATTATTCTTACAGCTTATGCTCCTATTTTAAACCAATAAGCCTATTACAACATTAAGTCCCTTTTCTGATCTATATTAAGTAGGTATAAACTCTTTAAATCATCTCAGATTTGTTCTGAAGAAACTTAGTGAAAAAATAATGAGTTCAATTATTGTTATTCTGACAAAGGTGGGGAAAGGTTTTTTTTTTAAACTAGCAATTAATTTATTTCATCTTCTATTCCATTATGACTTCTTCTTTGTATGGTTGCTGGACCTGAACTCCAATGACTGGGCAGTTAATATTTTAGCAGACTTTTTGTTTTTGTTTTGTTTTGTTGGAATGCAAATATTGATATTTGCCATACTAGAATACTGCTAAAATAATGCAATATCAGAGACCATTTTTTTCTGAACATATGTTTCCTGTAAATAAAAAATAATAAAATATTGCAGTGGGCAAAACATTAGAATAACATTATTTGCTTAAGTTTAGCTTAAGGGATGCTTAAGAGGCTATAAATGGTAGAGAAACCTCTGACATATTTTAATGAAAGACATAATCAAACTTTGCAGAAAAAATAAATTTCCATTGCAATTTATGGCAACCTTTTAAATTAAATTTTGTTTTTAGTTTAGCTTTGTTTTCCTTATGATGGATCAAGTTTGAAATAGATGTAACATCTGCCTAGATATTATGTTACAGGATAACATACAGAGGTTTTAATGATGTTAGTTTGACAGATAAATATAAATTTGTTAAAGATTGGTTAAGGCTAGAATAGCAATAGCACTTAGACTTATATACCATTTCACAGTGCTTTATGGCTCTCTCTAAGTGGTTTAGAGTCAGCATATTGCCTCCAACAATCTGTATCCTCATTTTATTGATCTTGAAAGGATAGAAGGCTGAGTCAACCTTCAGCTGGTCAGGATCGAACTGCTGGCAGTCAGCAGAATTAGCCTGCAATCCTTCATTTTAACCACTGTGCCACTATGGCTCACTAAGAATGCTTAACGTTTGTAGCATTTCAGCATTCAGTGTATTTACCATCAATCTTATAGTTGTAATCCTGCAAAAAAGCAATCTTCTTCTTATGGCATATGGGAAACTGAGGTGGTAAGAGAACAACATACCCAAAGCTACCTACTGAGCTCATGGCAGAATGAGAGTTGACCTGAGGATGACTTGAATTGTAGCCTACTCTCTTAGAGTATTTTGGAAAGATTTAATAAAGATTTAAACTGTTTTACTCAAGTTTGAAGAATGTTGCAGACCTGACCTGCTCTTTAGGGGAAAATTGTTTCTTCAGAATTTTGACATTTTTGCTAGCCAACATTCTTAGCGGGCGTTTGAATGGGAGCTGTGTGAATGTTCTTTGATAAGACATACAATGGGATCTTTCTCTTGTCAGACAGTCTAATTATTGGTTCCTTCAGATTTACAAAGAGAAGCAGCCACTTGAGAATAATGAGTTAGCCATCCATGATATTTTCCAAGCTGTAAGCACAGCAGAACTGAACTAGCTGAGGCTGCAAAGTTAATGGTAGGACTTTTCAGGTCAAGTCATGACCTAAGCGGGGCAAAGTGTCTGGAACTCTGAATATAACAAACTTGGAAATTTTTTTTACTTCAGTCTAATGTCCATCCATGCTGATGAAGTGGTAAGTGGACTGAAATAACTTAAGGTCACACATTTTCTGCCAAAGTGTGTATAACCTACAAAAGAGCCGTTCCTAACATCTTACTTCCCAAATAGGTTGGTAACAGTCCTCAGAATCCGCACTGAGTCTTAGAATTGCTGTCCAGGCCATACAAAATATACCAGATTAGTAAAGGCTTCTGAGGAATCATAGAGATAAAAGGATTGCTTTTACAAGACTAGTCTCCTAAATAAAGACTAAGGCAAGATTCTATTATTTCTAGGAATAATCCAGCAAGTAGATAAAACAATAGTATTAGCCGAACTTTGAAAATTTCTCCCACTGGATCCAGATGTTCAAGTTTTTGCATCCACTTGTTTTTTACTGTTTGCCAAACATCCAATACATTCTAAAGAATTTTAATATTTGCTTTCTACTTTGTTTGGTATCAGTGATTGTTATACACCTACTTATATCCCCTACCACTATAGATGATCAGAATTTTGCTTACTGTAGATTCTTCTGGCTTTGTAATCTTAAGTCGCTCGTAATTATTGAATTTGAACTGATAATTTGGATTAAATTTCCAAATTGAATTTGGTGGAATTCCTTCAAACTTTTGAATTTGAGCAGTTGATTTTTGGAATTGAATGAAGTAGAATCAGTAAACTTAATCAAATCATATCAACACTTTGATCAGAGATAATTCCTACATATTTAGGTTGAGATCTGTGGAAGCACACGCCCCTAAATTTTTCCCTTTATACTATGTTAACATGATTTGTTTCTCCAGTGTTGATTGGTTCAACACAAGGCAATTTATTGTATAGCTTTTATTTTATGAGTGCCAAATAACTGGTCTATGAAATGCTGCTGTAGTCTTACATAAAGAGACATCCTTGCATGCATTGCAGAATTAGGAAGAACTTAGATCATTCAGTAAAGCTTCTTGTGTTGAAGCCAAGTCTCTTGCTCCTAAACATTCTGAACAGCTTTGGGCTAACAACAAGAACATGCAGACAGCTTTCCAGGCTGAAATGTTCCATAGGCAGAGAGCAGGAAAGATGCGAATGCCCAAAAGGCCAGAGGGCTATGCAATAGATTGGTTAGAATAGAATTTCCTTTCCTTTTTATTTTGCTCTAGTATACTGACAAACTAGTAAGAAAGTGCTTTTGAGCATACAGGTTTAAGGGGGCAGGAAGACAAATTTTTGAAAGTTGTAGCATTACATTTTTAAAATGTGTTTAAAATTAATTTTAAAAGTTTTTCAGTATCATCTTGTAGCTGAAATATTTGTGGATCTGTAGGACATCTCAGAATTCTGGAGAAACTTTGTAGTTCAGGAGTTTGAAGATCATCTGCTAATATGTGTTGAAAATCAATACTGCTGCAGTTATTTTTTCTGTTTTGCCATTCCACTCTCTGTGTTTACATTTTAGACCACCTTGAAGGTCTGCTAGGCATATTCCAAGTTATAAATCAAAACAATTCAAGTATATTGACTAGATTCATAATGTTATTTCTTTGTTTTGGCTTAGTATGTTTCAAACATCCATTCATTGTTGTTTCTAATGCCTGTTATCGTTTAGCATGTTGCCTGAACCAGGCTGCATGATGGTAACAAAGCCCAATTAAAACAAATTGTATTTCGTGAAAGATAGGAACATCTTTTCATCTATATGAAAAAATAAAAATATTATAAAGTTAATAATAGTAATGCAAAGTAGAAAAATAAGCATGACAGTATCTATTGATTATTTATTCATTCTGCCATGTGGTAGACCAGTGGTTCTCAACCTGTGGGTCGGGACCCCATTTGGGGTCGAATGACCATTTCACGGGGGTCACCAAACCATGCTGTCCGCCATTTTTTTCCCTTTTCCCTAGCTGTCCTACTCTTATTGGTGGCCACACCCACTTGGGGGTCACCACAACATGGGGTCACGGCATTAGAAAGGTTGAGGATCACTGTGGTAGACAATTTCTACATTTTAGTTTCCAAAGGAAGACTGATGCATAGAGTTCCTTTATGAATAATCTTATTCAAACTTAAAATGCTGAAAGAGAGCCAGTGGTCTTTCAGTGTCTATGTGAGATAATTTCATTATATAGCACTACCTCTCAGTAATGAAAAGGCCTCTTATCAGGGCAAGCAGTGGCTATTCTAGTGGAATCTTATTCATTTTATAAAACTGTTTGAAAACATCCACAAAATATATTTCCTTCACTGTGTATTAGTTATTAGAATTTGAATCTGGTTTTTAATCTTATAATATTGGCAACATCTTTTTTAGAATTTCTTTTTGTTCTTTTTTATTGAAGGGATGGAACTACAGATGTGACAAGGACTATGCATTTTGGTACCCCATCGATGTATGAGAAGGTATTCAAAATATTTTTTCCTAATTGCCTCTCTTAATCAGTAAACATTATAGGTTACATAATTTGCTAGATTGCATTAATTTAACGTAGGGAACTATTTGAAAATCAAATCTGATAATATGAATTATCCCTTAAATGTTATAGGTAACATATCCAACCTTAGGCATCCAAGGCCATTCACCAACATGGATGCCAGCTTCCATAAGGAAGGAGTAATTCTTTGAAAGATATCTGGAAACCATTAAACTAGGGAAACAGCAAACAAGTAATTCAACAGAGTTAAGATGTCATCTTGTGCACTCCCGAGTCCTCCTATACCTAGCTAGCTCGTATCATGCATCCTCAAAGTATACTATACATTTTTCCAAATCATATGTACAAGTGAATCCTGTTCCAGCATTTCTGTATTAGCCCAGCTCTGTCTGTGTATATAGTTGATTGGCTGACTATGTCAGTAGTAGATTCACAGATCCCTAGCTATTGTGTTGCCCAGCTGGTGTGTTTATTATCCTATCTTCTGCAGCACCACTGAACATAAGCTGTACATCATTTTTATCCATAGGGCATTACAATTTACCTTTTATTTTGATCAATTTGACATTAATGATCTTGTCAGTGCAATTAGTCCATGATTTGTTTTGAAGTTAACTCAAATCTTTGCACAAATAACTGAAGATGAAGAGAAAAGAAAGAAAATGAAGAGAAAATTCTATTTTGTCAACAATGTAACTACAGTTTGGTGTTGGGGAAAAATAATGTTCTAAAAATAAAATCAGCATATATCAATTTGTTTCCAGTTTTTTCTATTTTCCAGTAGATATTAAGCTAATTATTTTTATACCTACTTTGAAGAGATGCAGCAAGTTAATGAATCCTATTTTTTTATTTTTAAGTTAATACATTCAATGCTATTCTTTTGGTCTAAGCAACATTGTATAAATCAAGAAAAAGAGTACGTAGTCAGAAAAGAAAACTGAAGGAAGGTAACAAAAAGAAATACATCTAAAACTAGTTTATACACACAATTTATTATATCTCTGTATCTTTTTAGCTATTGCAACTCATCCTTGCTTTCTCCGCATCCATATAGCACCTTAAACTTCTCATTTTGCTTTTTTGAGGAACTCATCAACTCCAACTAATCATGACTGCCTTGGTTTCCCCCTTCCTTTCAACCCATTCATTCTTTGCAATTTGTACCTCATTCATCCTCTCTGCATCCTCAAATCATTTCAAGGTACTTTGGCTTTAGTCACCCACTTCACAAACCAATGCATCATTGCCATATCTCTAAAATTAAGTATATGCAGTGTACTGGCATAACTTAATAATTTTATTCTGGTCAATGACAGAAATTCTTAATACAAATATATAGCAGAGCCAAGGAGAACATTTTTTGGAAAGTCCACGTAAAGACTGATTATATGAAAGCTGGGTCTTTCAGTAAACAGCCTCTATCCCTATTAGTCTTAGAGAGACTAATACTGCTCTTTATTATCTTTATTATCCATCAAAAATAACTGCAACCTCAAATATATTGACAAATATCAGCCCAGAAATGTTTATAAAATGGACTGGGCCACAAATAATTAGACATTTGTTTTAATTTGCTTTATTTACTGTGTTTTCTTTCTTTTGCAGGAGTGTTTTACCTACGTCCTGAAGGGCCACATAGCAGTCAGTGCAGCCATATTTCCTAATGGAACCAAAGGTTGAGGTTTTTTAAAATTATTTTTCAGTATCTTCATTTTCATTATTTAGTTGGAATTGAAAGGAGATATTCAGGGCATTCAGCCCAAGAGATTGGAAGTGTACATATGTCAATAGAGTTTAATTCGTATCCTGAGTAGCTTTGAGTGGCTCAGCTCTCAATGATTCACTTGGTGACTTTGGTCCCCTATTGTGTCTCATGGGGCATTCACTCATTGTATTAACAATGTATTAACAATATTTTTCCTAGTCCAGAATTGATTAACTGCATTAAAATATGAATTAGGGTTTATAAACAATAACATCTCACCAGACTGTTACAGAAGCTTTTAGCTGGTGTGTATATTGGGTGTTTGTACTTTCAGTATGTTATCATTGAAATTTTAATAAAGTAAACTCTTGTCTTTGTTATTTTGTGTGCAATTCCTATTCCACAGTATTTAGTTTCTCCTCTGGGTCATGCTATTCTGGAAAGTTTTCCAAATTTAATTCTTTAAACTAGAAATAATTTGTGATGCTAGACATGGTATGACCATCTTTCATCTCTGATATTAAATTCAGAGTATCACAAATTCTGTTCAGATAATTAATATAGATCATCACTAATTACTTTAGAGAATTAATTTACGAAAAAATCAATAGACATAATGGCCAGATCATCAGGTCCCAGAGGAGAAACAAAATGTTCCCCAAGCCATTTCCTATTACAATCTTCTTGATTATAGAGTAAAAATATAACTAGAAAAAAGGATAGTTTGGAGTTGTTATATTTGTATCTTGGTAACTTTTGCCTTCATATATAGGTCATCTCCTGGATTCCTTTGCTCGCTCTGCATTGTGGGATCAAGGCTTAGATTACTTGCATGGTACAGGTCATGGAGTTGGTGCTTTCCTCAATGTACATGAAGGTCCATGCGGCATTAGCTACAAAACATTTGCAGATGAACCTCTGGAAGCGGGAATGATTGTTTCTGATGGTAACTTATCCCTGTTGATTGTTATATGAAAATAGCTATAGACCCTTTTGGGCAAATGTGTTCTGCTCTTTTTTTAACTTTTGGAATATGTATATAAAAATGTTTAACCCTTGCATACTTTTTGGTTCCACATATTTTACAGGGAAGGACAAGAATGCAGTGGTATTTTCTCAAAAAAATAAACATGAATAATGCAATTATCGTACTATTTTGTATTTTTAAAATGTCTTCAAATATTCAGACTTTTTTGTACGTGCTTTATTTCAATAATCAATAAAATAGTTCTGTAAGGTCAGTTATTCAGTTTCTGACAAGAGTCATCTCAAATATGTTTTCTTAGATTAGGTCACAGATGTTTATCCCTGGAATGATTTATCAACCCATCTTGTATGCACTGAGACCTGACATGATCCTATATTCATGAAACATAACTTTTTTTTAATCAACTATATGAAATTTGAGGAGCTGTTGGCCAATAAATACTTGAATATTTCTTACTCGTGAGAGTTTTGCTCTTATTTGTGAGTGTTTTATTCTAAATGTTTTTTCCCTTAATTGTGTCTCTATAGAACCAGGTTATTATGAAGATGGCTCTTTTGGGATCCGAATTGAAAATGTTGTCATTGTTGTTCCGGCTAAAACAAAGGTAATTGATCCTTCAGCATCTCCAGGACATGATTTTAATGTGCAATGCCTCCCTGATGGTCTATTTAGAAGTTTAATCAAAATAAATAAGCCCTTTAATGCAGGGGTCCCCAATCCCTGGTCCGTGGACTGGCACCGGTCCACGGCATGCCAGAAACCGGTCCGCGCAAACAAGCGAAACCCCATTCACGGGATGTAGGCAACACACAAAACCATGCCCCCTCCAGTCTTCAGAAAAAAAAACTCTCCACAGAACCGGTCCCTAGTGTCCAAAAGGTTGGGGGCTGCTGCTTTCATGTAACAGTATACTTAGTTCCCAGCATATGGCTCAGAACACAACATGATTTTGGAATGTATTCTACTTTTCATGTGTTCTTCCCTCGGATGCACAGTATGAGGGCTTTGGACACCAACTGCATTTGAACATCTTTGATACCTGTTAAGTTTGATTCTTTTTATTTAAGAAAATTAATGGGAAATTGGCACCCATTACATAGGAGGTAAAATGGTGGCTACCTATAGTTCCATGCATTAAGAACATGCAAAGTAAGCTGAGCTGAGATTGAAGCAGGTCATAAAAAACAACATCAAAACTGATTTTGAAGCTGGCATGATAACCATTTTGTGAGAGCACCCTAACATGACCAGTATGCTCACTAATTCACAGAATTTGACTATTCAACTTACCCATTTGCTGACAAAACCCATACATTTTACATTTGATCAGAACAGAAATATTAATTTCACTATGCCTACATACTTTCATACTAGATTCCTTGGTTGGAAATTTTTTAACAAGTGGGAGCTTTATTAAAGTCTGTTTTAAAGTGTATTTCTTTAGAACAGGCAAGACAGTCTGGCAATTATCCATACATATATCTGTTCCTCTTGATATATTCCTGATTTTTTCAGGAAAAAAAACCTCCTCTTCTGACCAAGTAGCCTTTTCTTCTTCACAGTATAACTTCAGCAACAAAGGGAGTTTGACTTTTGAACCATTGACCCTCGTCCCAATCCAAACTAAAATGATACTTGTTCATCTATTGACTCAAAAAGAGGTAAGAGGGGTAAAATTGCAGTATGGTGTATTTGGAAGCTTTTATTCTGAACTTTGAAATCAAGCCAAAATGACAATATTTATTTCTTATTTACAGCCAAACTTAACTCAGTCATTTCTGTTATAAAATGAAGATAAAATAAATGACACCAGGGTATAAGGAGTTCAGGAGGTTGGGTAGGAAAATCTCCTAATTCACCAAGAGTTCAGGAATACAGTGTATTACATTTAATATAAAGGAAGACAGTCCCGACCTTAAGATGACTAATTCAAAGAAAATTAGATAAAAACCTCCATTATCTATTCTGAATGAATTTAAGGGGGTTTTAAACATAGGCACGCATACACACACAAGACACACACCTTATGTTACTGGAACCACATCACACATTGGTATTTTCCCTGCTTTTCTATGTTGCAAGCACCCAAAACAAACACAAGATATACAAAGTTTAAAACAAAGATTAAAATTATTTATTAAATTTATTTGCAAGTTATATGAGGTATTTTTTAGCTACTGAGGTTATTGTGCAGTAGTGGTTCAAGTTATAAAAGTTACCAAACATAATGTAGCTATCATGCAATATATACATTTGCTGAACTACCAAGGAGGAGGTAGACAACTGCGAAGATGCTGTTAATACCTACTAAAGGTTGGGAAAAAGTTGGAGATGTTAATGAGGAACTGCAGAGTCATCTTTGGGGACGGGCTTATGCAATGTGAGTAGATTTACGTATGAATAACAGCCGCAGAAAGTTTGCCAATAGTACTGAAACTTTAGCAAGCTATGAACTGTAATGTAGTAGAAAAGAATGCAATTCCTCACTAGAGCTAACAATATTATTATGTGCTGCACTTATATCTTACTATAATGTCCTGGATTTCCTAAGCATGTAATCAGGACATACGTTAAAGAGAAATATTATAAGCTTCCTGCAGAAGTATAAAAACCTTTAATAATGAAATATACTGTATCTTGATTCCTCTCCCTAAAAGGCTATTATTACTACTACTACTACTGGGAGCATTGGGCACCCAGTGAACAAAACAACAGCAAATTACGCAGATGCTTTTAATGGATAAGAACAGAATTTTTGAAAGTAAGGCTAGGTAATTAGGAGCCTGAACAATCCCTATTTATTCATAGTAAACCCTGGCAAGTTTAAAACTCAAAACCAAAATAAAATAAGTCAGCCTTCTATACATCGTATGTAAATTATGCATCTAATTTATGGAATCAGATAAAACCTTTGTTACTATCATAGAAATGGAATCAACAAATGCATACATACATACATCTCTAAACAAATAGATGACAAAATCGTGTGTCATGCAATAAATGAAAGTCTCACATTTGTCAGATTTCTTAACATTATATCCTGCCCCACAATTCTCTGTGTAGTGGTGCCTGTCCTCTCAAACAAGGTTGCCTCATAGATCTATATGCCACCCCCCCCGCTCTGGTTTCAAAGGACTGTGAAGAACCGTTTTTTTAACCAGATCTGTGATGAAGGAGAAGTGAAGTCCCATCCCTTCATCGGGCTTGCCATTTTTTTAATCTTTCTTCTAGACAGTTTTTTTTCCCCTTTTTCCTTCCTTTTAGTGTGACTGGCTGAATGACTACCACAGAAAATGCAGAGAAGTGATTGGGGCAGAACTTGAACAACAAGGACGACATGAGGCCCTTCAGTGGCTCATTAGAGAAACAGAGCCAATCTCTCAAATACACTAATAAGAGTATTTCTATTTTTGGATGTAATTCCTTTTTAAAAATCCATGTTCAGGACTGCTTTGGCTTTACAATGATGATTTGGGGGAGGCATGAGTTTTTTAAAAGAATAATAATCAAGATAAATAGAAGAAGAACAATGGACAAGATAGAGGGTGAAAGGATTTATTCCCCTGTGATGTTCTCTCTGTTTTTTCCTTTTGATAATGAACAAAATTAAATTCAGAGCTTAAATCTGTGTCTTAAACAATGAGATGGGTTAGTGGGAAAGAACACATGGCTGTGAAACTAATCTCTGGATCAGATTGATCAATTTCCTTGTATAAACAGTGAAAGTAAGAAAATATTCCATAATGTGAGTTGGCTCTTGGTGGCAATTTTCTCAAATGTTAAGGAGGAATGGTATTGCATCAAAGGCGCACATATCTGCTAAAATTAGTGCCTGCATAGGTTTAAGTTTCCTGAAAAATAGAATTTCTCATAATTATTCCTGAAAGATTTTAGCATCTGGCTTTGCTGCATCTCATATTTCAGAAAGGCAACTAGTTACTGCATTTTTATCCTCCAATAAAGGAAGTGCCAAACAATACTTTGCATTTTTGAAGCATTCATGACTGATCATATACTATCCAGTGCACGCAGGCTGTATCCCTATGCCTGTCTGTTGCATTCAGTTTTTTTAATTCCAAAACATGACTGCAACCTCAGCAGAATATATCTTGATAGCCTCATGCCATCTCAACTAACTGAGCAATTTATTTTCAATAAATAATAAATGGGGCAATCTGCAATTGAGTAATACCAGGGGACGGGGTGTAATTTTTTCTTTTTTCTTAGTACATTAAAAATTCTGAAACTTTTTTGGATAGAGATATACCCACCTTGCTGAAGCATGCAATATAACACAACCAAATTTTCTCATGACTATATATTTCTAAATGTGTGTAATAAGTAAACATAGTATCAGCGAATGTAAGGATCTTTTGAATGTTTGAACAAATGCTTTCTGGGCTTTACTTTTTAGTCTGCAAGATCTCCAAGGACCTATAGGTGTTGACGCCATATTGAAAAGTTTAGTCCAACATTTTTGTGATAACTTGGAGTCAATAGAATGTCAAATCCCCTTGATTAAAGTAGACTATACTTTTCTTCAGGTGTTTCAAAGCATGAAAAAGGAGCTGGGCAAAACTTAGTGTATGTTCTTTTGGGGCTACTCTGTATGCAACTCTATGCACTCAGAGCATCCTGGATCTGCAGAAATAGTTTCAGGGAGAGAACTCAGAACTCTTTTGGCTATACTGGAAATGATGAGGGTTATCGCATTTTATGTGTTCTAGATTGGGGAAGGGTCACTAGTACAATTTGTGCATGTTTTAAAGCACACTTTTCTGTGGAGGATTGTGTTAACATTCATGTGTATCAATTAATTAAAAACATAAATTCTAAATAGTTCAAGTTTATTAGTGTGATGACTTATGGGATACCAACATGAGGTATTTGAAATGTATGTATGTGTGTGTGTATGTATGGCATGCGCGCTAGAAAAGTAATGGAGGATCTGGGCATAACCATCGGGTCCACCAACAGGCTGCCAGATGTGAATCAACTTAGCACATTGCAGAGTAATACAACTAATGGGCCGATTACGCGCATTCCAACCCTGATGACGTTGGCAGTCGGGCCGATGAAAGCTTGGTAATTCTTTTACCTACAAACTTGTTTGTATTAAACAGGTTTGTTTTATTTTTATCCTGGTGTTTGTTTTTTCTATATTATATATATATATTGTAAGAAAAATAGTTATTCAAGAAGCATATAAAAATACTTCAGCTGTCACACTATATAGAGAGTAATGCAGTTTGGGGAAAGAGAATGCATTAGTGTTGTGGAAAAACCATGATACTTACATCAAAAGACAATGAGCAGCAGTTAGAGTGCAGTACTGCAGGCCACTTTAGCTGACTGTGTTCAGCAGGTCAGCGGTTCAAATCTCACCGATTCAAGGTTGACTCAGCCTTCCATCCTTCCGAGGTAGGTAAAATGAGGACCCAGATTGTTGGGGGCAATGTAAATATATATACAGAAAACAAATATATATATATATATATACATTATCATATTATCATATATATATATATACATTGCTTACTGGTGTACACCACTTAGAGAGTGCTTGCACTTAAAGCGGTATATAAGTCTCATAAATAAATACATAAATAAAGACCACAAAGGGTTGGAGAAAACAGGTTTATTTGTGCACAATGGTTCAGAGCATTAGCATGATAGACTCTAAGTATGCATTCCTGACAGTGCAAGTCCATGGAGTCCATGGCCAACCCTTGGCTACATTGTCAAGCTCTGTTGGATCAATAGGTGTATACATTTGGTAGGCTTCAAGCAACTGAGCGTAAAATGCTTCCGGACTCTCTGTGGCTTCCTGCACTACTAAGGATGGTTTGGACATATTTTTTTTTTTTATTGAAAATTTTTAAAAGTTTTTACAAAAAACAAAAAAGACAACAACAAAAAAAAACAAAACAACCCTCACCCAACCCCTCCCAAACCACCCCCTCCATCCCCCCCGAGCTTCCCAGAGCTGAATATAGGCTTAATTGAAATTTTAAAAATCCTAAAAAAAAGTTAAACAACTTATAAAGTAATTAACAATAAGATATATATATAACAAAAAAACATAAACATTAAAAAGAAAATGTGCTTAAAAAAGAAGAAAAAAGAAAGAAGAAAAGAGAAAAAAAAGAAAAAAGAGAAAAAGTACAATCTATAAAATATCAAAGTTTATATACAAGTTATAAAAAGGCTAAATGGTATTTTTTTATATCCAATTTGTATTGTGTGAAATTTATCCATTTTTCCCATATGGCAAAAAATTTCTCTTGCGATTGCTCCTTTAAAAAAGCCAAAATCTTTGCCATTTCCGCCAGATAGGAAACTTTAAAAAGCCACTCTTGCAAGGTAGGCAAAGATTCCTTCTTCCAATATTGCCCTACTAACAGCCTTGCGGCTGAAATCAAATTCAACATCAATATAACCTCCTTAGCATCACAATCAGTAACAATACCTAACAAAAACAGTTGTGGAGTAAATTTTACCCTCTTTCTAAAAATTCTTTGGATATTCCACCATATCTTAATCCAAAAAGCTTTTATATTTTTACACGACCACCAAATATGATAATAAGTGGCGTCCAGGCAACCACATCTCCAACATTTAGGCTGTAAGTCAGGATACATAAGAGACATTTTTTGTGGATCAAGGTGCCATCTATAAAACATTTTATAAAAATTCTCCCTTAAGTTCTGGGCTTGTGTAAATTTGACATTCCTCACCCAGATAGTTTCCCAGGTATCCAGTAGAACTGGTTCACCAAAATTTTGTGCCCATTTAATCATACAGTCTTTGATTAGTTCTGATTCTGAATCCAGTTCCACTAGAACCCCGTAAATTCTCTTAATGTGAGTTCGTCTTTGATCCTTTACTTGTTTAAAAAGATTTTCATCTTCTCTAAGCAAGCCCATATTACGATCCATCTTCCATCTATCCACTATTTGTCTATATTGAAACCATGAATAGGTAATATTTTCATGTAGTAAATCTTCCAAAGATTTTAACTGCCAATTTTGGCCATCCCATCTAAGTAGTTGTGTATAAGAAACCCTATCCATTTTAACTCCTCTCCTTATCCCCTCTATCGCATGCCAAGGTATAGCCCATAATGGTATTTTAAAATCACTTTTATAATATTTCCTCCAAACCCGAAGTAGAGAAATCCTTATAATATGAGATTTAAAAACCTGACCCACTTTTTTATTAAAAATTAAATAGGCCATGCCATCCAAAAAGTAAATCCCAACCCTCAAGATGGAGTATTTCTACATTTGTTAAATTTACCCAATCACTAATTAATGTTAAAACCACAGCATCATAATATAATTTCAAATTTGGTACCTTGAGTCCACCTCTCTCACGGAAATCTTGCATAATTTTAAGCTTTACCCTTGGTTTTTTCCCTGCCCAAATAAATTTATTAATGCCTTTCTGCCATTCATTTAAATTAATCTCATTCTTTAAAATAGATAGCATTTGAAACAGAAAGAGAAATTTTGGTAAGACATTCATTTTAATCACTGCAATTCTTCCCATAAGAGATAACTGTAACTTCTCCCAATTCTTCAAGTCTTTCTGTACTCTGACCCACAGCCTTTCATAATTATTCTTATACAATTTTACATTAGAAACAGATAAATTAACCTCCAAATATTTTATCTTATCAACAATTTCAAAATCAGTCAAATTAACCAAAATCTGCTTATCCTGAGTAGTCATGTTTTTAGATAATATTTTAGTCTTATTATTATTAATTTTAAAACCCGAAAGGTTTGGACATATTAACAGCTGGTTTTCCTGCTGCACGAACTGCCTTTACCACTAGCTGTTGATAAGCCTGCAGATCCTTAAGATCATGATATGGATCCCATGAGGGATCTGTGGATGGGAACATTATTTCAACGTGTTCATCAAGGGAACGCATCAGTGGGACATCGGGCTTTATTATTTTTATCACTGCCATCCTAATCTTTCCCCTCTCTTCAGGATTAAACAAAGTTCCCATAAGTTGCTGTAGATCCATCCAGGTGGGGTTGTGGGTGTCTGCAATGGTCTTTACCAAGTCTGCTACTTCATGTGGTTTCCCACTGAAGGGGTCTTAATGGAATTTCCAAATAAGGAGGTCTGATGTAGTAAAAGGCACAGGTTGGAATAGAGGAGCAGTGGTGGTGTCTGCCGGGTTGTCCTTACTGACAACCAATTGATCAACCTGTCTGAGGGGGGCGTTCAAAGAAACATGCTCTGTTTTTGCCCTGGTCCTTTCGGCTATTGATTCCTCCACCTCCCTGTCCCCTGTTTGTTCTTCCTTCTCCTCAGCCCCGGGGCTCCCTTCAGCTCCTTTAGGCGAAGGTCCAGCTTGGGTTCCTTGATCCTGGACATCTGGTTGGATTATGGCTTGTCCCTGGCTCTTCCTATCCTCAAAGCCTTTTAGCATCGGGGACAGCATGCCACATGAATCCTGAGGATGATGACCCTGGGGTTCCCCTTAATCCATGCGGAAGGATATATGGTGGTGGATGTGACAGTTCTTCTGGCCAACTCGGTAAAACCTGGATGGACTTCTTAACCTTTTGAGGTGGCAACGTACGTGATACTAGAAGCCTACGCTGTTCTGTGTTACACTTCTGGATCCATGGTGGAGGTCTTTGCAACAAGCCGAGCCACACATCAATATAGGGTGCCTGGTCTGGGTGCCCTAACGTGGGATGGAACACTAGCTGATGTACTTTTAGGGCAATGGACGGATCTAGTGTCCCTGTGCTTGGCCAGCCTACATTAAAGCTTGGCCAATCTATCTCACAGAAGGCCCCCAACTTATGCCTGCTCCACTTAATACCATAATCCTGGGCCCCATAGGCAGACTTAAAATGCTTTAACATACACCCCAATGGAGTAAGGGGTACACTTTCACCAGCCCCCATGAGCCTCCCAGGGCACCAGACAAGACAAATGAGGAAAGGGGATGAGAGGAAACTAAGGGGTCCTTCCACTCGGGATCACACTGGGGGTTACACTTATGCACGCTCGACCCAGGGAGCCGGACACTCACGGTCTCCGATGGGAACTGCGAACGCCACTCACTCACTACTGGCCCAGGGTGCCAGACACTCATGGTCATCTTTGGGAAACGCAGTAGCCTTTCACAGCAAACTCACACAACAGTCCTCCCACCTTATTACAAAGAGATGGTGATCAGTCCTCCATCCCTGTTTACAGGGAGGGATTCCTTTTTTTCCATCCAATACTTGCCTGCAGGCAAATCCTTTGTCCTCTAGCAGGCTGGAAAGATGCCTGGTCTCCTTACCCTTCACCTGTGGCTCTTGGAGTGGCCGACCGCCGATGCTGGAACCCTGTGTCACAGGGAAGTCCCTCGGAATAAAAGGTCCGATGGCGCCTGGGATGTCCCCCCCACTACAGGCCCCTGGCACTGGGGTGGGCCCTCCAAAGAGCCCCAAGATTCCTTGCCATCTGCCGCGGTCGCCAGATAAATGTTGTTGAAAAACCACGATACTTACATCAGAAGACAAGACCACGAAGGGTTGGAGAAAACAGGTTTATTTGTGCACAATGGTTCAGAGCATTAGCACGACAGATTCTGAACCTCAGGCTACTCCCAGGGAGTAATTCTTATACCGCTGGTCACCCACGCCTTGTCCTCAGGGTGACTCTTATCTACCTTTGACACACTAAAACGGAGAAATTTATATCTTGAGGCTACACACTAGAAAAGGAGAAGTTCACACAAACGGCTATCTTACCACACCTCTCTACACGGGTAATATCTTACACCATCTGTGACTTTCAGTTGACACTTCTTGTAAAAT